GAGCCACATAAAGAAAAGGATAAAAAATAAAATCAAAGCTGTGAGCACTGCACTTGGCCTGAGGTATAAATAGCTGGCTTTTAGGAGGCACCTGGGTGAGCTTCTGAAGTCATCTCTTCAGTCACTGACTGTAAGTCAGGAGAGGCGGCTTTTTTTTCTTCTTCTTTTGTTCTCCAGGTTGCTTTCTTTTAAGTTTTAATTAAGAAAAATTTGAGATAGGGCCTTCATTAGCCCAGGCTAGCCCCCAACTCACTATGGGTCTGAAAATGACCTTGAGCTGACCCTTCTGCCTCCGTTTCCTCCATGACAGGATTAAAGGTGTGTACCCCACATCTAACTTTTTGCTTTATAAGCCTTGCCAAGTCTTTGGAGACCCGTGAGTAGACAGAAGGCTTGTCTCAGTCACACTTTGCGTCTTTTTTCTTCTCTGTCCTCCCCTTCCCCTTCCCTGACCTCCAACTCCTCTGCTTTCCCTGGCCTCCAAACTCCATCCCTGTCTGGCCTCCATCGTCCTCTTAGCTTCCTCCTCTTAGTCCTCAGCTACAACGGGCTCTCCACAGGTCCTGCAGATTTGGTCCAGTAAGAAGGTCTCTCGGCCAGAAGAACCGGGTTGATACCCACTCCTGAGGTCTGGCTGCTGGGTTTCATGTGGACAGGATGCTCACCTCAGAACAGTGAGGATGCCTGGGAAAGCTAGGCCAGCAGGCTCCTATGAGTGCTGTCATAAACCTACCTCAGGACTGGGACTGGGGACAGCCAGCCGCATATCACATCTTTGAAGTGTGAATCCTTCTGGCATCTGGACCATAACTTTAAAAACCTCAGCATTTCTGGGATTTGCTGAAACCCACTAGCTTGTTGTGCTGACTGCTGGTGGGGTAGAAGGTACGGGGTCTTGTCAGGTCCTCTGAAGGTGACCGTTGGGTTAACACTGGAACTGTCTGATGCAGAGTGGGATGTGGCAGGCCCTTTCTTGTCCATTGTATTTGCAGTGGATGGAGCATTGTGATTGGGCAGTAGAAGAGGTAGGTGGAGCTAGGAGTTGGAAGGAAGAAGGAAGGAGGAGGAGAAGGGAGAGAAGAAACAACATGGAGACAGATGTACTTGTCTCTAGGAGTCTCGGGTAGCTATTCATGTCAAAAGGTTAGATATTGGGTAAACAATAGTAATTGTGTGGGCATCTTGTGTATTGAGTGTTTGCTAATATATAAATCCATTAGATAATCTTTAAGCATTTAGAATCTTCTTTCTACTGCAAAGATGGCGGTTATTGTCTGGGGTTGAGCCGAGAACCATGAGGGTGGTAGAGTTGGCCCAAGAGCCATGCGTAGAGCCGTGGACTCCACAGAGCTGACTAGCGGAGGCAACAGCCACGCCTGGCGGTGGCCAAGAACTATCAGGGCTGCACCACCTTCATTTCTAACACCTACAGCTACAGTGCGAGACCTGGAAGATCCAGGCTGGGGCAATGGGCCCTTCTACCCTTGGTGTCTGTGGGTCCCAGGTGCTGAGGGCTCCAGACCTTCCCATTCCTCTGAAGACTTCTGTGAGCAGGCACTCCTCCCGCCTTTGTGCTCCAGCGGGGAAACTGAGGCTTAGTGAGAGGCTTGGTATAAGGCAGAGTAAGGTTTGAGCTGGGATGTGGTGGCTTTGGCCAAGTACACAGTACTTTTCCTGGACTCTGAGTCTGTGTTTCCCCAAGGCATTGAAGAAAGGACCACCCCGGGGAGAGTGTGTGGATCGCAGCCTGGCAGGCTCTGGAGTGTACTTCTTGTTTATTAAGGTCACGCAGTCCCTGGCCCCGTTTAGTGTTGTTTTTGATGTTCAAGGGCAGTGTGGAAATTTTTGTTTTATGCGACCTAGTTTCTGTGCTTTGATAATGATGCGCCACTGCAACCCACCAACTCTGAGATTTCTGAATCAGGGTCACAGTCCCATTCCCCACCCCCACACCCCAAGCCCCGGGCTTCATGCCCCTGCCTAGGTAGGGGTCTGATGTGTGTAATAGTTCCAGGATCTTTGCTGCTGTTTTAAATGTCATTTGTGTTTCTGTGTTTGGGCATTTGGGGTGCATATGAAGGCCAGTGGCCACCCTTTGAGGGCCATACATCAGCCTTTGAGGGCTTTTTGTGATGAGGCTGACCGGCCGGTGAGCTCCAGGGATCCACCTGTTTCTGCCTCCCTAGCACTGGGATTACAGGGAACATTGTGCCTGGCTGGTTTTTGTAGGGTTCTTAGTTTTTTTTTTTTTTTGAGACAGGGTTTCTTTGTGTAGCCCTGGCTGTCCTGGAACTTACTCTATAGACCAGGCTGGACTTGAACACAGAGATCTGCCTGCATCCACCTCCTCAGTGCTGGCATCAAAGGCATGAGCCATCACCACCAGCTAGGCCTGATTTTTATGGTTGGGCTTGGGCCCTCATGGTTTCTCAGCAAACGCTTTACCCACAGAGCTCTCTCCCTAGCCTGGTGCTCCAGTGTCTTTCTGAGAGAAACAGTGGGCTCCTTTGTGTGATTCTCCTGTGTGGCTCACTGGTGTGATGCTCCTGTGTGGCTCACTGAAGTCTCCCTGGAGGACCATATTCTCAACCACAACTTCTTAGACTGTTACCCTAACCACTGCACATGGCGTGGGCATAGCTTTTCCCCCCGAGAAGTCAGTTGGATGGGATTGGTCACTGAGCTCCTGTGGAGTTGAACTTCCCTGAAGAGTTGTCTTTTCTTCCTCTTTCTGACCCTCTCCATCTCACCTATGGAGTGCAAGGATTTGTTGGAATTTGGTTAGTTTTCTAAATGAGCCTGGTGCCCCAGGATGAATCTTTGGGAGGTGGGACAAAGGGAGTCCACAACCCCTTGATGGTTACTGACTCATGAAGCTATTTGATGTTTGCCTGCTTCCTTCTAGAGTCATGGTGAGGATTAGGGGATTAAGAAATGGCTTAGCGGTTAAGAGCCTTTCAAGACTGAGTCACATTTATGGGTCCCCATGGGTGTGGCCGTCACAGTATTTTCCATTTTTTTTAATCCATAAATATTTGTGTTATTTTCGCTTTTGGCTGTTGTGAATAACGTGGCCTTGAACATGGGTCTTTACAAGAGGGTCTCCTTTTCCAAAAGAACCTGAACACCAGCATCCTTGCTGACCTTAGAGCAGATGCTGATGTCCTTTGGAGGCAGAGGATCGGTTATCCCCAGAGCTGCATTCACAGCCATGTCCCAAGATCCTGTTCCAAGCTGGGGACTGTCTGAAGACCTAAGAGAACAAACAGGAAACACCACCCAAGGCAGTAGGGTTCAGAGGGGTTAACAGGACTGACTTGGGGTCTCCTAGACAGCAGGGCAGGGACTCCTGTTCTGAAGCCTTTGTGGTATACATGACGCTGTCCCTATCACCTGCTGTTGTGGGTGCTGGGTGACCAACATGTAAGATGCTAAAGAGTTGAGGTGACTGGTATTCCAGGAAGAATTTAGAGGGGTTGTCTCTGTATAATTTCCACTGGGGAATTACAAAGAGGTGGGACGCTTGCCTAGGGAGATCTCCTCAGGAAGGATGTGTGGTCAGCAAGTGATCTATGCCTCTCTCTCTCTCTCTCTCTCTCTCTCTCTCTCTCTCAGGTCTGCAAAAAGTGGCAGGTGGCAACCTGTCTCTGTCACCTCTGGATCTGGGGGCTACAGTCTGGAGATTGAGGTCCAGTGGTATAGAAGCCACTGTTTCTGATTTCAGAGGCTCAGATGTGGAAGAGCTCTCTGTAAGCAGAAAAAAAGCTAAGCCCTGTATCTGTACAAGCTCTTGTGTGTCGTGTTGTGTCTCCTTGGCCACACACACACATACCTCATGGCTATGACCAAGGGCCATCAGAGTTTCTGGAGAGATGAAGGATTCTGTGTGGTGCCATAGGACCGGGGTGCACACTGTCCGAACCTTACAGATACTCACTACCCTAGCCTATATACCTACTGCTTATGTGCAGCTAGCAGTCTCTGGGCCCATAAACAGCCAGCATGGCATCTGGGCTCACTTCCTTAGTCTGTTCTTTTTACCAGCCCTGATCCCAATTCTGCTACTTTCTATAGAGATTTAAGATCTTAGGAGGAAGCGCTCCCATCCAGGGGCCAGGAGAGACTGAGATGGTAATAAAGATTTAGTGACTTATCGTGTGTGTGTGTGTGTGTGTGTGTGTGTGTACCTGCAGAATTTGTAGAGTATCTTGGGAGAAAGAGGGCTGTGGACCATGCCTTTGCTGGGTTCAGGACATCATCCAAGCAGATATCTGTGCAGACTCAAGTATCAGTAAGTGAGGCTGGTTGTTATGACTCTGCAGAGTCCACATGGGAAGTGAGGTGAGAGGGGACATCCAAGCTGGCTGTGGGTGGATGCCCTTTAGGAGGTTAACTGTTCCCAGGACAAGGAGCTGAAATGGTTGTGCCCAGCTGAGAAGAGGCATGTGTCCAGCTGAGGTGACTTCTGGCCTGAGACTCTAGCCTGATTAAAAATAGATGCAAGGAAAGTGCAGAATGTAAGAGTTCACTGCTCCTTCATCAGACTTCTGTCCCAAAGGACGTGGCACACTTTAAATTCTGATCACTCCTGTATGCAAGGAGGCCTGTTTACACCTCGAGTCTAGAACCCCAGATACAGCTTTGCCAGAGAGAAGGAACTTCCATCCATCTTCTCTGTTCTTGCTGGGATCTAAGCTTTGTCTACCAAAGCAACCTCAGGCAGGTCTGGAAACCATTAGAAACAACTAGAAGCTTCCGGAAGCTTCCACGTCTCAGTCACATGTTGCAAAGAATAGTGTGGACAGACTGGTCATACTTGAGAGGCATCAAGAGTTGCTTGACGTTAAGCAAAATGTCAGGTGTTCTGGGCTGGGAGTACTTTCTCCAGCCTCTCTGGACTGCCCAACATGATGGGATGTCCATGCAAGTGGCATGTTAGAAGCATAGGACTTTTCTTTTGGGCTCCCTACATACTGACCTGGTCTCTCTTTGCTCAACAGTGACTGACCTCCAGGAAGAAGGCAAGAGTGCCATCAACTCTCCAATGGCCCCTGCTTTGGTGGACATTCACCCTGAAGACACCCAGCTAGGTACTATGGCCACTTGGCATCCTTCGGTGTCCATCCCTGATGTGGGACCCCACATGGGTGGGTGGTATTTGAGAACCAGAGTCTTATTCCGAGATCTCTAGGGAGAAGCGGGCTTCCACCCGTCTTCCAGTGCAGATTTTATTGGCATCCAGGTATATATGAGGTATATATGGCTAGCATTGGGAACATGGCTGATTACGACCATAGATCCCAGGGGTGGTTATGCAGGGCTGGGCAAGCAGTGGAGGAGAGGGAGGAAGAGTTGGCTTGGTTACTGAGCTGAGGACTGGATACTGTAACTCCAGGAGCTCGAGGCACAAGGCTTGAGATAGCTGATAGCTGGCCTAGGAGATGAGGAAAGATGGATACTGGCTCAGGGTGTAAAACCCAATGATCCCCTAGAGGAGGAGGCTAGGGGACAGCCACTCCTGGAGGACAGTCTCCCAGGGACGAGTGGGCCCTAAGATCTCAAAGCATGAAGAAATGTTAGAAAGCTAGGCACACATCCCAAACACCCTATATATCCCCTTGGCTACCACAAAAAGCCATGCTGGGAAGCCGGGCGGTGGTGGCGCACGCCTTTAATCCCAGCACTCGGGAGGCAGAGGCAGGCGGATTTCTGAGTTCGAGGCCAGCCTGGTCTACAGAGTGAGTTCCAGGACAGCCCGGGCTATACAGAGAAACCCTGTCTCGAAAAACCAAAAAAAAAAAAAAAAAAAAAAAAAGCCATGCTGGGCCTGTGGCTGGCCATGTGGGAACTGTGACTGGGGAAGACCCCTGGCTCCTTGCAGGTTGATGACAGGGTGTCAGCCAAGATACTCTTTCCTGGCTTTATGTTTTGGCAGCAAGTCGATGTGGAAGGCAGGTTCGGGACACTGCTTTCTTCCAAACCCTGGTTCAGAGGGAGATTCCTGTCTGCCCAGATTTTCCATGACAAGACCATTAGGGTCTCAGGACAGAAGCAGGTGTGGCCCAACCTGTGGCCCAGAGTAGCTGGTCCGAGCTGTCTCTCCCCACAGAAGGGCATGCCTCTGTCATGACTTCTGCAGCTGCTTGTTGCAGCAGGTGCTTCTGGGCTATTCTTCACCTGGGAAGCTGGACTTCCTCCCAGCTTCCCACTGTGGTCAGCGGGCCCACAGCATCCTGGCTTCTGTGGGACACTGGTCTTTTCTGTTCTGGCTCCTGTGCCTTCATTCCCTCCCCACCTTCCTGTCCTGCTCTCCCCGTGAACTCCACTGGACTCTTGTCTTTTAGAGCCAGACACGGAGGGGAAACACACAGGGGAGACAGGCAAAATGTCATCTTTCTGTTTGTTTTGGCTATGTCTAGTACTTCCCTGCAGATACTGTTTTGTATATGGTACTGCCTGCCCATCTGTTTCCTTGTGTGTTCCGAGGCCCCACACAGCCTCCTGTGGACTAGTGAACAGTGTGACCCAGGAGGTATTGATGCTCAAAGCTCTCTTCAGCCCTCTGGTTCTGGCAGAACCATTTTGGCTTAGACTCACTCACTGCTAAAGCAATTGGAGCCTAAGACTGAGGAGATGGAGTCTGGCTTCATCTCCTCTGGCTTCCCCGTATTTCTGATCTTGGTGTCTGACTGATAAAGCCCTGAGGGCTGTTCTCAGTGGAAAACATGGTGGTCTCTGCTCTTCCACCAGCTTCCTGACTCATGTGAGGGAGCAGGGAGTCCTCCATCCCTGGCACCCCTGACAACCTTCCCTCAACCCCCATTCATTCTGGTCCTTTCCATCTTTGGCAGAGGAGAATGAAGAACGTACCATGATCGATCCCACCTCTAGAGAAGACCCCAAGTTCAAGGAGTTGGTCAAGGTGAGTTATAGTCTGATGTGGGTGGAACATCCCTTTTGGTTCTGGGCATTCAGAGGAAGCAGGACTCTGGTGGATACAAGGAGGACCTGAGCTTCCAAGATCCTGAAAGGGCCATTGAGGCTACGTTAGAAAAGAGTGGTGAGGAGTGGAGTGTGGGCTGACGAATGGATGGAACATGAGTCTTCTAGGTGTTTCCATGTGCTAGGGCTTGCCACCCAGGGCCTTTATGAGATGTCACATGATCCTCACAAGAGCTGTATTGGGTCTGTTTTGAGCCAATATACCCTACCTACATGCATGGTTGTCTGTAGCTTCATAGGGTATGGATTTAAGTTGTTTTGCGGAACAAGTTGTTGTCTCCCCGTACTATAGCCTCATCTGAAGAGGCCTTGGTATCCCAGTGAGTTGTAACTGTCAACTTGACCCAGCCCTGGAGTTATCTGAAAAGGGAGTCTCAACTGAGGGATTTCTAGGATCAGACTTGACCTGTAGAATGTCTGTGGGAGATGGTCTTGATTGTTAATTAATATTAGGTAGACACAGCCCACTGTGGGTGGCACCATTCCCTTGGCAGGCAGTCCTAGATTATATTTAGAATGCTAGCTATACACGAGCCTATGAGTGATCCAGTAAGTAGTGTTCCTCCATGGTTTCTGCTTCAAGCTCCTTCATGAGTTTCTGCCCTGAGTTCCCTTGGATGGACTGAGCTGGTAGTATAAGTCAATAAATCCTTTTCTCTCCTAAACTGCCTTTGGTCAGAAAGTTTTCACACAGTGACAGAATGAAACTAAAACACTTGAGGACCATATGTGGCAGTGTGAATATCAGCCAGGTAGGAAAGCAAAAGGCTTTGTTCTCAAAGGTCACAGTAATAGGCAGGTGGGTTTGTGGCTCAGTAGCTGCCAGGGACATCTGCTTCCTCCTCTCTAGCACATGGCTGATCCTGTCCAGGCACAGCCTGAGGCTTTGATTGCTCAGATCTAAGTCACAGTAGGGCTCCTGAAGGCCACCCACCAGAGACAGAGGCAAGCAGATGGTGTCCTGCCTTGGAGACCCAGAGTTGGTTTGGATGACCTAGGTGCTTTGAAATGCTGCATGTGACAAACAAAAGTGTCCTGAAATAGATGGCTCTCTATTGGCTGTCCCACCTTCACTGCAGTAGAGAGCCTGCTGCCACCCCTTGTGACTGAGCTTTCATAAGGGCTGATTCAGGGGAATCAGGGCTTGCCCTTGTAGAAACATTAACTGGAAATGTCTGTTACAGCCGTCCAAAGATGATGAATCATTTTTCTTTTTTTCTTTTCTTTTTTTGGACAAGGTCTCACTATGTAGGAGAGAAGGAGTTTATTCTGTTTGCAGTTCTGGGTTACAGTCCAACACTTGGGCATGACAAGGTGGCAGGAGCTTGAAGTAGTTAGTCCCATCTGCAGTGAGAACAGAAAGAATGAATGTAGGCATGCTTACCTGCTTGCCTGGTGTGCTCAGCTCTTTTCTCCACTCTTACCCTATTCGGGACCCCCTAGATCTAGGGGTTAGTGCCGCCCACAGTGGGCTTAGTCTTCTCACATCAATTAACTAATTAAGACAGACCCTCACAGACACGCCCACAGGCCAGCCCAATGTAAGCATTCTTCTCAGCTGTTCTTGATTGTCAAGTTGACAATTAAGATTAACCGTTGCATTGGACAGTGGTGGCACAGGTCTTTAATCCCAGCAGTCTGGAGGCAGAAGCAGGCAGATCTCCAAGTCTGAGGCCAGCCTGGTTTATATTGCAAGTTCTAGGACAGCCAGGGCTACATGGAGAAATCTTGTCTCAAACAAAAATAAAAACAACCAAAAAATCAAAATAAAACAAACAACAAACCAAACCAAACCAAAAACAAAAATGTCAGACAAGCAAGAAAAGACAGAATATCTGTTGTACCTGTGCAGAGGGGCCTAGGCTCTCTGCAAATGGAGACATCGTGAAAAGGGGAAGCAAGGCTCCAGCTGCTGGACTGGATAAAGGATGGAAGCTGTGTGCCAAGGTCTGTGGAAGCCTCGAGAAGCTGGAGGAGGTTGGGAAGCAGGGTCCTTTTAGAGCCTCCAGAGGGACCAGCTCTCCTCGCCTGACATTTGACCTCAGCTCTGTAACAGGGATTCTGGGCTTCTTGCCTCCAGCATGTGAGATAGTCCATGGGATGGTTGTAAGCCACCAGAGTTGTAGAGGTCCCTGGAGCAGCCATAGGAAGCAAAGCTCTGTAGCTGACCATCCACATGGGCCAGCCAGAGCGTCTCCACACCTGCAGCAGTGGCTGAGTTCCTGAGATACCCTATTCCTGCAACCATCCCGTTGGCTGCAGCTATACATACAGAGACCAAACTTCTCAAACTAGCCTGAGGTCTAATCTCAGAGCAGGCGGGTTTCAATCTAGCACTTTCAAATATGAATATAAATATCATAGGCAGGGGAGCAATCTGGGGGCTTGGGGAGACGTGGCTATGTTGGGGGTTGTGCAAAGTGTCAAATTCCTCAGCCGGGGTGGGGGGCTCTGAGATAGACAAGTGTGAATATAAGGTTATACTTCTAGGTATAAAGTTAGAAGGGACAGTTTCCTAAAGACCCACAGGCAATTCCAGGGGGTCCATGCTACCTTAGGGTTGATAATTCACCAAAAGGACACCAGGCTCCACTGGCAGCTGTTGTCCTTAAGGTCATAGTTTTCTGGGAGAGGCATACTCGGGACCAGGATCTAGGGAATGGATTGAAGGAGAAGGGGAGAAAGAGTGGAAGCTGGATAATGGCTTCTCTATGCAGATGGTTCTAGAGCCTTAGTGCCCTGGATCACCGTGCATGTCAGTGTTTCCGAACATTGTCTATGCTGCAGACCCAGCTTCTAGAGGTTCCCTGTGGGGGTTCCCCATGGCTATCCACTGTGGGGGTGCTGTTCAGAAGCAGGTTTTGTGTTTTGCCTTTTGCCATCTCCTATAGCTAGGGGTGGTACTCAGGACTCAGCTCCGCTGCTGAGACATATGCCTGTCCCCAACCCCCAAGGAGATATTTTAAAACTTAAGCCTGTCTGGTATGTTGGTCTGAGCAGGTCAGAGGACAATCTGGCTGACAATCTTGTCCTGCTGGACACGGTCATTGTGTCCATCTGTCCTTCACAGACTCTCCCAGTCTTTGGGACCAGGGCTGAGTTTCTGAGGAAGCCTGGCTGGCCTTGTTTCCTCCTCTCCTGGTGTCTGCCCTCCATGACTTCCCTCTGGTGTCTTGGTGGCCTTCTCTGTCGCCCACTACTTTACGACTATCATCTTTGCTGTGCTCTGAGCTGCCCTCTGCCTTTTGTCTGAAGTCCCTGGCTCTAGCTGGGCAGGCATTGAAATGAGGTTGACTATTAAAAACTATTTTGAGCATCTGTCATGCTTATTGGGCTATTAAGGGGTGAAGGTCTGATCCCAACTCAGAGGAAAGTGGAGTGCCTTGACCCACAGCCATTCACTATCTGATGATGGGCATGGAGAGCGACCAGGTTTGGTAGGGAGCTGGGTATTGGCCAGCTGGGCATCAGTTTAGAAATGGACCTGTATTTTGCAGGCCCAGGAGCTTCAAAGACCCTGGTATCCTCCGCTGGAGTGTCTTCCTATGGCCATATTTACTCTAGAGCTGCTGGTGTCAACCAGATGTGTAGGTGGACAGTGTGTTGAAGGTTTATGGCTGAGATACTTCACGGCATTGACCGTTCTGTTAAGTGTCCTGCACTTTTCTGCTAGGGAGAGGCCTCTGTGCTCAGTGTTCGATGGAGAATGCCATTTGGACCTTGTCCCCAGGGCACAGAGCTCCGAAACTCTCAGAGTTGTCTGAGTGTGAGATCTCCTCTGCGGCACACACTCTTGGCCACACCCGGGTCACTGCTAATGAGGGCATTTGGTGAGCCCCCGTTACCTTCCAATGCAGGATGATCCTAAGGGGACCCACACATGCATTGTCAAGGGTTTGGCACTGCTGATCTCTGGAAGGGAAGAGGTCTGGAGGGTGGTTCTTTTTTTCTGGTGACCAGTGACTGAGCTTGTAACCTGGGGCGCTTGGAGTTTGGGAGGTGAGTGTCGCAGCGCTCTGACTACAGACCCCTGAGGTCAGATAATTGCTATTGGGGTGATGTATTTTGAAGTTGGAAAGAAAAACAACACAACTACACAGCTCTGAAATTAAGCACGCTTGCCAGAAGCGTCTAGATACCTCACGTTGGGATGTGTCTCCTTCTAAAAGCAGATTTCACATCTCACTGTTCAGTTACTGGGCAAGGCTTACCCTTGTCCTGAGGCTGTTTTTTCCCCTCTGGGGCCTGGGTCATGTGGCGGTGCTCTGCTATGTTCATGGCCCCATGGACTCCCACCCCTTTCAGTAAGGTATATCTCCATCCTCTTGGGGACAACACAACCAGGACTGTGTTTGGAAGTGATTAAACCGTAACTGTCATGGCTCTGGGGAAGACAGACTGCAGACCCGATTATAATTCAGAAGGAACTAAGGGGAAAGTAATTTTTTATTCTGCTTAGAGCAAGCTCACAGAGCTGGCCGTGATCGAGGGCCGTGTAAGGGCGTAATTAATATATGTCCTCCTTATTCGCCCGCGGGACTTGGAACTCGAAGATGAGCGCGTCCCTAAAAATAATGGCTGATGCTATCTTTAAAAGCTCTTTTGGAAAACGGAAGATTAAGAAGGATGGCCGGGAGCAGAATGATGGGGTGATGGGTGGTGTCCCCCAAGTCAGATCCACGTCTTTGGGGGTGGTGGTGAGACCCAACCTGAGAGCCTGGCCCATTGTGTAGACTTTTTTTTTCTTTGAGAGTTTAGCCTTTTGTTCTTGCTTTGGGTTTGGAGTAGGTCAGAGATCTAACTATGGAGGGTTTTTGTTTTGTTTTCCGTTTTGTTTTTCTTCTCAAAGTTTTCGGTTCTCATAGAGGAAGCATTCTCTCGAGATTTCCTAGCAGGACTGTGTTTGAGGAAGGAAGCATCCGGAAGCAAAGTCCTATAGAAAGGCCTAAGCCCTTTCTAGATGTGAATTTCCCCAGGCGGTTCTTTGGTTCGTTTGAGACCTTGAGTCTCCTGCTTCTGTTGTAGCCTCTGGGGACAAGTGCCGAGCAAAACAGCTCACTCACCAAGCTCACACAGTGTACCTGGGAGAAAGGCATGATGTGGGTTGAGTAAATATGCAATGGAATTAGGTGGTGAGGGGTGCCTGCAACCTCATGCCTTTCTGCCATTCCCTGCAGAGAAGTCTGGGAGGTAGCATTAAAGCAGTACCTAGGCAAATATCATAGCCAAGTGCCTAACAGCAGGTGCAAAGGTCCTGTGGCATATAGGTGCTTGGCACATTCTAGTGATTATTGAAATGGACAGAGTGACAAGAGTCTCGAGCATGTGGGGGAGTGGCCAGAGACTCGGCGATAGATGTCCACCATGTCCACCTTCCACGCCTTCACCCTTCTCAGCCTAACACCCACGACAGGTAACCGACCTTCTGGGCAGAGACTGCGCTGCGTCTCTCTTCATCCTCACTGCCTAGTGTGGCACCTGGTGAGGACACTCATTCATGTTTTATCCTCAGGGGAGACCCTAGAAATGAAGGCTCAGCAGAATTCGAAGCTGGTGGTGGGACAGCAGGTCATTCCATGATTCCTTTGCTTTTTTGACGACAGACAGAGAAGACTCACCCTTCCCTGTCGTCTTAGGGTTTCTGTTGCTGTGATGGACACAATGACCAACAGCACCTTGGAGAGGAAAGACTTACAGCTTGTAGTCATTGTCTAGGAAAGTCAGGACAGGAACTCAGAGCAGGACCCTGGAGGCAGGAGCTGATGCAGAGGAGTGCTGTTCACTGGCTTGTCAGCCTGCTTTCCTACTGCACTCAGGGCCACCTGCCCAGGTGTGGCATTATTCATAACAGGCGGGGCCCTCCCACATCAACCATCAATCAAGAAAACGTACCACAGGCTTGCTTACAGGCCGATCTAGTGGAGGCATCTTCTCTGTTGCGATTCCTCTTCCAGGTGTCTCTGGCTCTGTACAGTTGATGTCAGTCCAGCTACCATAGTAACCACGGTGACCTCATCACGCCACTTTTTCATTTCTTGTGAAGTTGAGATCTTACTGTTTTGTAACAAGGAAATCCTTGCTGTGGTTGGCAGCCCCCAGAGTAAGAACAAACCTTAGACCCTTGAGCATGAGGCCAAGCGAGCATCCAGGATATGGCCCTTCGCAACCTGTTTCCTCCAGCCAGGCCCTAAGTCCTAGCTTTCATTGCCCAGAGGAGACAGCCCCGTGGCCAGAGAACACAAGCCAGACCGGAGCCCAATCAGCCAGAGAGCTGGAGAGGGCTCCGACTCTGTCTCCCTGCCCCCCATGCTTTGACACGAGGGCTACAAGGGTGTGTGGTCTTTTATCTTAGACACTCATGAGTCATTGGCTCCCCTGTGAGTATCAGTCTGGGCCAGTCTTCCGTGGTCACTCGGAAGCTAGTCAGGACGTGATGGGTCAGGACTTTGTGACCAGTTTCTCAGGTCACTGCTGTATCAGATGTACCTACATTTGTGTCATGTGGTGGTAAAGTGTTCAGGCAGAAGTTGGGGTTGTGATGGGGATGGGTTTCAAACACTGCGCTAAGGGAGAAGCTGGGCATGAGGGAGGAGTTGCACACAGTGTAATCTCTTTGACTACAGGAGATGGACAGGGGCAGAGCTATGGGGGACAGGCCTGGACTCTCTATAGGGACAGGAGACATTCTGGGTGGGTTGGGATGACCATCACACAGCTCAGGGATCTGAGGGGTGCAGTAGGTTGATTCTCTCCCTTGGTCAAACAGTCTATAGAGTGCGGTGAACAGAAACCATGTGGGGACTTCCTGTATGAGCCTGGGACTCTCGACTCGGGGCTGCTGAAGGACAGGCTAGGGGACAAGTGGGGGTGATGGCTCATGGTCCCCTTTCCTCAATCTTCCCAGCGTTTACTCATTTAGGGCCTGTATATGGGATATCTTTAATATAAATGTAGCAGTTAATGAATCTGGAGGCTGTATTTCTTTACCTTATACTATTCCCCAATAACCACGCAGAAAAGCCAATGTTTATTTAAAACTGCACTTCAATAGCTGAGCAGTTAAATGGTGTGATTTAAATGTCTATGCTAGTCTGGCTACCACCCAGCCCCATCCCATGATACTTGAGAATTATTATTGATCTTTGGGCTTCAGGAGTGTTTCCATGATCTCATACTAGACCCTTTCCTCATGGCTTCAAATCCTTCATCCTCCTCTCTGATCTGACTCTTCCTCTCTCCCTATCTCCTCCCTCTGGTTGGCGGATGTCCCACTGTATTCCTTATTCTGCCCAGTCATTGGGTGATCATTGGGTGAGCGTTTATTGACAAAGCAGAGGACAAATGATAAGAAATTGTTTATGCAAAGCCAGGCAGTGGTGGCGCACGCCTTTAATCCCAGCACTTGGGAGGCAGAGGCAGGCGAATTTCTGAGTTTGAGGCCAGCCTGGTCTACAGAGTGAGTTCCAGGACAGCCAGGGCTACAGAGAGAAACCCTGTCTCGAAAAAACAAACAAACAAAACAAAAAACAAACAAAAAAACAAGAGTTGTTTACACAAACTGGAGACAGGAGATTCTTGGTGTAAGCGTTACAGTGCTGTGTCCAGACTGAGACAAGATCTGAGGCAGAGAAATCAGCATTTGAATAACCCAAGAGTAAACTTTACACAGTGTACAAAATCACCACGCCTTCAAGCGCCCAGTGCTTGAAGGTGGACTAGTGAGCTCTTCCGCAGGGAGATAGTGCCATCGTCTACCCATGGTCTCTGCAGGTTCCCAGCCTGCCTGGTCCTGCCAGGGTCAGCTGGGAGCTGTTAGGAAGTCCTAGCTCCATGCATGGGTCTAACGCTCCATTTCAACCTTGGCCACAGACCAAGAGACACCTGTTGTCTTCCGAGGTCGCCAGGCAGGTGTCTGGTAGCCCTTGTGTGTTTGGGCCGCTGCCCACCTGAACCTGCTCCGACCCTGGCTTTATGTAGCAACTCTATGACAACACCTCTCACCTGCCCCAGGTGCTTCTGGACTGGATCAACGACGTGCTGGCGGAGGAGCGTATCATCGTGAAGCAGCTGGAGGAGGACCTGTACGACGGCCAGGTGCTACAGAAACTTCTGGGTGAGTGCCAGGACCCTGCCAGGTAGCACCATCCTTCCTGCCCCGGGCTCTTGGGAACAGATCCAAGGCTTGGCTCACACCTCCTGGTGGCCCCGTTTGTGGGTTTGTCTGTCTCCATGGTTTCTCTGCTGGCCAGTGTGTACCCAGCCCTGGGGCTGCAGCAGGTTCTCTCCGATGCTCATGCCATTGTGGACCAAAGAGGAGTCATGTCCCTTATCTCTCAGGCCACCTGTGTTTCATCTGTTAGGATTCAGGGTTGACGGAGTGCAAGGGGGCAGAGGGTTGGTCTCCAACAAACCCATCCATGTGAGAGAACGTGTCATTGTCCTGACTCGTGCTTCCAGGCTTTACTGTCCCCCAAGTCTGGCTGAGGATGACTGAGTGCGTTCTCAAGATGGATGGGTGGAAGGAAAGATGGTCAGGTGGGCAGCCTCTCCATCAAATGTTCCCGAGCCTTGCTGAACACTGGCTTCTAGGTCAGTGAGTCACGAAGCAGACATCGATCTTTCAGCCTTTCTGGAGCGTGCAGTCTGTCTGAGCAGACAGTGACAGATGCTGTGGGTCTTGAGGGTAGTTAAAGGCCATACAGGTACCATATGGCTAAAGTGGGTGGTTGTACGAAGCACTGGGGTCTGAGCCTCAGGGGGGAAATGAAGGAAGAGTGACCAGGAGAATGGAGAAGAATGGAGTCGGGGGTGAGGAGTGACAATGTCATTCATGATGCCTCACCCTGGCTCATCTCTGTCATCCTAGCACCTGGGATGCTGGGGCAGGAGGATTGCTAGTTTAAACCTAGCCTACATATCAAAAGCCTCTCAAGAAAAAAAAAACCCACAATGGATGACAGCCTCAGGACTGGTTCTGACGGTGGCTGGCCCTGTTGTGAGCATGTCTTGTGGGCTATGCTGTCATCTCTGGCAGCCTCGGTGGCTTGGGGAGGTGGTGAGGTATTAACTCTCAGTCTTCTACTGGCTTTTCTCTCTCAGTTGTTTGTCAGGTGCCTTGGACACGGTCCTGTTCATACAGGTCCTGTTTTTCCTTACCCCAGCAGGTTCTCACAGCAGGCCCAGGGACCCAGCATCTCCAAATGCTTTTACATCAGGGCATTTCACCCTGTTCTTTTCCGATTTCTCCCAAAGCCCCTCCTCCCCCCTCTCTTATGACATCTTTGAAGAGCTTGGGCATCTTTTCCTATAGAAGATGGACCAACGTAACTCATATGATCACTCTTCTACTTTTCTTTTTTATAAGTGTACTTATTTTGATTTTATGTGATGAATGTTTTGCCTGCACGGGTGTCTGTGTAATACTTGCATGCAGTGCCTGTTGAGGCCACAAGAGGGCATCAGATCTCCTAGAACTGGAGTTTATGGCCGGTTGTGAGCTGCCCTGTGGATGCAGGGAATTAAACCCAGATCTCCTGGAAGAGCAGCCAGTGCTCTTAACGGTTGAGTCATCACTACAGCCCTGATGTGCTTTCCTCAGTGTTACCAAGTATGCCTTTTTGCCAGGACTGGGGCAGAGCCCACCGCTTCTCATTGCTTGACGTGCACAGTGCACTGGGTGAGGATTTGGGGTGAGTCTACCAGTGTGGAGCCTGCTCCTGGGACAGGAATGCTCCTGCTGCTGGGGCAGGAGTGCTCCCACCGAGAGCAGCCACCCAGAGCTGGTGTTTAGCACCATGGGACCAACCATTCCTTGGAGAGGGGTTCCAAACTCCTTAGTGGACTGAATACCAAACAGTCAAGAGTGAATGTGGGTGTTCAGTTAAGAATCCTAGACTTTGGATAAGGTTCTGTAGTTCAAGAATGAAGCTGGAGAACTGGTGAGATGCTAGAAGCACACTTGCCCTAAGTTGACAGCCTCTGATGCCCGGGACACGCTCTGGCTATGCATCTCTATTGGCCATGGTTGATCATCAACAACACTGATATGTCCCCTGGTCCATCTATGAGAGCAGGTGTTGATGACCTCTTGGGCACATCTTTTTTGGTTCCATCTTCTGCTTGCCTGGCAGATACAGCCGAAGCAGCTGTGAACCCCACCCTGTTGCTTCTTCAGGCCCTGTAACGGGAGGCTTGAGGCTTGCCCAGGCTCTGCTGTCTTTGTATTGTGAAGTGGTTGTTATTCCTTCTCATTTGAATATCTGTAGTCTGTACTTGAAAAAAGCAGCTTGCAAGCCTCTTCTGTCAAGTGGGTTGGCCGGAGAAAAGGACAATGGGAAGAGTACTCAGGGCTGAAGAGGACGTCAGCGCATCTTTGCACAGTTGTGTGGGAGGCAATGCTGTTTCTGATAAGATGCAATGATAACTCACAAGGCCTGGAGACCAGAGATTCCAGGAGTGACCTTGATGTAAGTGGTGGCCTCTTGGTGGCTCTGATGTGAGCAGAGCTAGATCAAATAAAGTGGTGCTGGCCGAGGGACAGAGACAAGGCAGATTTCAGCAGTGGAGCCAGGACTGGTCAGGATGAGGGGAGCCAGCAAAGAAGTCCAGTGATTCCTCAGGAAGGGATCCCGAGGAATGTCGGGAGCGGGGGGCTAGAAAGAAGACATATCCTTGAGTTATTTGAATTATGTTTTTTTCCCATGGGTGTCTACATGTGAATGTGGGCATGCGTGTGCCATGGTACACGTGTGGAGGTCAGAGGACAAATTCTGGTGTCATTTCTCCTTCCACTGTGTGTGAGGCAGAGTTTCTTTGCTTACTTCTGCTTCCTCCAGGCTAGATGGCCCATAAGCCTTAGGGGTTTCTCTTGTCTGTTCCTTGATTCTTACTCCCAAAGAAATGCTGGGATATAGATGTACGCACACACGCACAGACAGACAGATACATACACACACACACACACACACACACACACACATACACACACGGACACATCTGGTCTTTTGTATTCTGGGGATAGAACTCAGGTTCTCACACTTAACGTAGCAAGGGTGCTACTTGCTGAGTCCTGCCCCCAGCCTAAGGAGGTGTTTTGAGTGGATGGTATATAGGCCTTTGGACTTGGCCGTGTAGCATTCATCAAGGATGAGCCGCCAGGGCACTGAGAGGAGCCCCTGCTCTTGAGATGAAATGGTGGGAACAACTGGGGATTCCTGAGGTAGGCCAGGTTTCAGCTTGGCTGGGTTTTACATCAAGGCAGTGGACTGGGTGAGGTGCCCCTGTAGGATTCTGAGGGGCTCCTGAGCCAACTGGTACTCACTGGGACATTTTTAGTCCTTTCGTGGTACACTGTCACCCTCAGTTGCATGCTGTGCTCGAGGGTCTCCTTAAACTTTCACTGTCTCTTCGGGGTTGGAAGATGAGGCTGTGATACATCTGCCACCCCAACCAGATCACTGATATGCAGCGAACTCTCTCTTCCCTGCCTTGTAAGCATCATGGACACCTAGAGCAAGACAGTGGGACACAAGGCTGGCCTTTTTGAGTTAGGTCATATCCCCAATCCCACATTCATATATTGATGTCAGTGCTGGCTAGTTTCTGTGTCAACTTGACACTGGCTGGAATCGTCTGAGAGGAGGTGCCCCTGTAAGATTGGACTGTAGGCAAGCCTATAGGGCAGTGGGGTTCAACCTGTGGGTTGTGACCCCTCCGGCAAACTTCTAACTCTACAAATATTTACACTGTGATTCATAACAGTGGCAAAATCACAGCTATGAGATAACCATGAAAGTAATTTTGTGGTTGGGGGTCATCATAACACAAGGAACGGTATAAAAGGATAGTGACATTAGGGAGACTGAGAACCACTGCTTTTTTTTCTTAATTAGTGAGTAATGTGGGAGGGGCCAGCCCACAGTGAACAGGACCACCCCTGGGCTGGTGGCCCTGGGTTCTATAAGAAGGCAGGCTGGGCCAGGCCTGGTGGTGTAAACCTTTAATCCTAGAACTCGGGAGGCAGAGAAAGGCAGATCTCTGTGAGTTTAAGGTTAGCCTGGTCTACAGAGTGTGTCCTAGGACAGCCAGGATTATGTAGAAAGACCCTGTCTCAAAAAGAAAAAAAAAAAGAAAAGAAAAAAAGAAAGCAGGCAGAGTAAGCCACAAGGAGCACCCCTCCATGGTCTCTGCATCAGCCCCTGTCTCCGGGTTCCTGCCCTGTTTGAATTTCTGCCCTGACTGTCTTTAATGATGGACTATGACTGGGATGTATATTGAAATACACCTTTTCCTCTTAAGCTGCTTTCGAGTGTGGTGTTCCACCATAGCAATTACAGCCTTAACTAAGGCAGCATCCTTACCCTCAGGCCTTAGAATGTGGCTGCATTTACAGACACATTTTAAAGAAGTAATTACTTTGAAATGAGGTTGTACAGTGTGATTCGAGTCCTTAGGAGAAGAGACTAGGTGGGGAGGTGCTGCATACCCAATCCTAGCACTTGAGACGCTCAGACAGGAAGACTGAGAGTTCAAGGCCAGCTTCAGCTACATAGGGAGACCCAGTCTTATAAAAAAGTGTGTGAGTGGGAGCTTAGGAGACAGCTGCACACAATGGGGACAGTCATGTGGGGACACAGAGAGAAGCCACGGGAAGAAAACAGCCAGCACCTTATCTCAGACCTCTGGTCTCAGAGCTGGGAGAAGGAGCCTCTGTAGTCCTGCTCTTCCCCATAGCCCTCGCTGACTGGTGCAGTGCCCCCCCCCCTGCTTCCTCCTTGTCATTCCAGGTGACATGGCTGGTGGCACGGGATAACAGCATTCTGGGTTCTCTGACCCTTCTTCCTCCTTCCCTGTTTCCTTCCTCTATGCCTTTCTTTGCTCTGTCCTTGGCTGCTGCACACCCGTAGGCCTGGCTTGCTGTGTATTTTCATGTTGTTCATGCATGTAGCTGTGGGTGTCCCTGTGACACAGGTGACAGGTGGTGAGAATCCACGGACGCAGGCACTCCTATCCCCAGAGGCAGTGTGGGATCATCAGTGTTTTTCTCCCTCACGCTCACCTGTGCCAAACTGTCATGTGTCTGTTGATGGTCCTTGACTGTCACATCCGCTGTCTTTCTCCCCTCTTAGGGCCTCCCTTGTTCATGCTTTTCCAGCACCTGGGATAGCCAAGTAGCTGTTTGTGTATCGAATATATGATTGAAAGGCTGTCCTGTGTGCAGTAGGTGGTCATGTGCATCTCATCCTGCAGACTACAGAAGAGCTGACCCTTCTAACTGCAGGAGCCAGAATTTGGGGGATCAAGAACACTGAAGTCCTGGGCCTGGTTAAAATGTGCTGGACAGAGTTTTCTGTGACCTCAGTGGGGTTCATGATCTCAGTGACAATGGGGCTGATGGCTTGTGTGTGTCCTTGGTTAAGGATGCTGTAATCACACTCTAGGAAATTGCCTCCAGTCACCCTGGGTCTGGGCCTTTGCTAGTTGGCAGAGGAGACCTGTCAGGAAACATCACATCTTGGAATTAAAGACTAGGAGGGAACAGGACTCCGTGCTTTGAGTAGGAGCCCCGGAGCGCTGGCTGCTGCATCGGTGTCTACTTGCTCTCACCTGCTGCCTCCTCCGCTCCCAAAGGAAATTGAAGGTGGCTGGGTCTCGTCCAGGTAATTGAATTCCGAGTGAATGTGACAATTCTCACCAGAGTTCTTCCTGCTTGCTCTTAGAAATGACATAGTCACAAACTCGGCAAATCTCCAATCAAACTTCTTACGGTGTGAAAATGTTAGAGAAGCGGGGAGAAGGGGGGCCTGTGAGTGCAGGGAAGCAGACCCAAGATTTTCTTATTGTGTTAATGAAAATCCACAGTGTGGGACCCTACTGGGGCTCTCCACTGCTCACACCCTCTGCATCTGCCCTCTGCAGCCAACCCAGTAACTTCCTCTTCTGCACTCCCAACTGCACCTTTTGCTTTGGTTTTAAAATTATTTTCAGTAGTAGCAGTACTGTCTGGTGTATTGAGGGAGCGTATGTGAACGTGTGGAGGTCAGATGACCTTGTTTTGAGACAAGGTTTCACTATGTAACCCTGACAGACCCAGCGTTTGCTATATTGTTCAGGCTGACCTTGAACTCACAGAAATCCATCTGCCTAAATTGTTGTGGTTTTTTTTTTTTTTTTGAGAATTTCATACTATCCTTTTGTTTGCTTTTCGAGACAGGGTTTCTCTGTATAGCCCTGGCTGTGAGAATTTTATACTATCTCAACACCATTTCTACTTTTCCAATTCTTTCCATGTCCCCCAGTCTCTCTCAAGTTCATGACTATTTCTTCTTTTTACCTGTCTCTCTCTCTCTCTCTCTCTCTCTCTCTCTCTCTGTGTGTGTGTGTTTGTGTGTGTGTGTACCACCTAATGAGTCCATTTCCTGCTGCTTATGCGTGTGTACATTTAGGGCTGACCACTTGGTACTGAATAATCAGCTGGGGGCTCCTTCTCCCCGGAGAAGACTGGTGTTCCTTCTCTCAACGGCTCGTGGTTCTTCAACTAGGGGTGCGTGGGACTTTGAGATTTCTCCATCCGTGTTGGCTTGTCACCTGATGCTGTCACTGTCAAGTCTGTCAGCCATGAGGCTGACGTTTCATGGGTCCAGCTTTCTAGGCACATCTAGAAGGTACTAGCAGGCTAGAGGACAACTTTTGAGTCAGCAGTCCACTCTCTCCTTTCACTGTGGCTTCTGGTGCCTGGCTGTCACCACACTTGGTCCCCAGATATATCGTGAAGGATTCTTTTCCACTTCCTGCACATAGGCTGTTCCCAGGCTTCACCCTTGGCTTCCCCTTCACATGCAGTGTAATGTTCTCTTGGTAGAAATGGCCTCCCAAGTCTAGCACTTCCTGGCTCAGCACAGCACCACTGGCCCAGGGGGTTGGGCTAAGATGCTGGACCTCTGTCTACTACCCCTGCTCCAGCCAGGGCACAGGTGGCTCCACCCCTTCCTGCTCCAACACTCTGCCTAATGACAATTGTCCTTGTCTCCACAGAAAAGCTGGCACACTGCAAGCTGAATGTGGCAGAGGTGACGCAGTCTGAGATTGGGCAGAAGCAGAAGTTGCAGACAGTTCTGGAAGCCGTGCAAGACCTGCTTCGTCCCCATGGCTGGCCACTGCGTTGGAATGTGGACTGTGAGTGGCCTCTGCATGGGGTTGTCATTGTGGCCATTGTGTCCCATATGGCCTTGTGATTAAGAACCAAACGCATCCTCTTGACCTGTTCTGCCAGAGGCCAGAGGCAGAAGAGAGGTCTGGGGAAGCTAGGGTGGGGAGCACCCAGTTAAGGTCACAATCACACAGCAGTACTCAGTGCTCCCCACTCCCGCAGCCTGTCCTCCAGAAGGGCAGCTCTAGGATTTATTTTGTGTGGGTCCAAGCGCACATGTCTGGAGGTCAGAGGTCAACCTCAGACAGCATTCCTCAAGAACCATGTTTGTTTTGAGGCAGGGCCTCTCACTGAGACCTGCAGCTCCCCAGGGAGGTGGGGCTGGTCAGCAATCTCAGGATCTTTCCACTGCCAACTCTCTGGCGCTGGGATTACTGGCACACAACACCACAATTGGCTTGTTTTAACTCCAACTTCAGTCCTCACGCCTGTGTGGCAGGCATTTTATGAACTTGAGTCATCCTCCCAGGCCTTGTTTTGTTTTGGAGAGTCTCATGTAGCCCAGGCTAGCCTTGGACTCAATATATAGCCAAGGCTGACTTTGAACTCCCGATTTTCCTGTCTCCATCTTCTGGATGCTGGGATTACAGGTCTAGTCCATGGAATTCTTGTTGGGGCTTGCTACCCATCACCCAGTACAGTTGCACAAAGTGATCCTCTCTGGGGGTAGTCCACTGAGGCAGGTGCCCAGGAGCCCATGATAACTCAGGAATGTCACTTGTCAGCTGGCTTGCCGGGGTTGTGTCATCACAGGAGCGGTAGGGGATAAGCTGACTGAAAAAAACAATGGCTTCTGTCCTGTTTATGTCTCTACCTCCTCTGGCTCTTTATAAGGCAGGTATGATGCGGCATGGTGCCAAAGACTGCCCTTCAGGGCCAGGGCTCTGTGGCCTGCATAGAGAACCCAGCTCTTGGCTATGGGGATGGAGTTGGCTCTGCCCCTAATTTCTTGACATAACTTTAGATCAACCTGTTTTTTCTCCCCAGGTGCTGGGGCTGTGGGTAGATGTCCCACCAGCTGCAAAGTCCTCCAAAGATTTGCTCCAACCTAGTCTGAAACTTTACATTCAGAGAGAGTCAGGGCAGGCAGCCAGGACTGACTGCAGCCTAGAGCAGTCCCTACCCTTGTCACCCATTCCCATGGGGACAGCCAATTGCCTAGTAGCAGAACTTAGTAGAAGTTAACTCACTGCCAATGATAACGACATGTGCTATTACAGTGGGTGTGTGGCTGTGACATGTCCTTCTCTCTGCAACTTGCAATTCCCCTCTTTAAAAGACATAGTGCTCTTAAAAGTGGCTGCCAGGGTCGGGCGTGGTGTCACACACCTTTAGGGCCAGGAGGAAGCTGAGACAGGTGAATCACTGTGAGTTTCAGGCTAGCTAAGTGTAGGCCAGCCTGGGCTATATAGTGAAACCCTGCCTTAAAACAGACAAACACTTAAACAACAAAACAAAAACAAACAAACAAAAAACAAACAAAACAAAACACTAAAAGTATGGTTGTCAAGTTGTCTGGGAGCAACAGGAAAGGAATAGAGAGAAGTTAGGTGTCAGCAGGCAGAAATCCCCTGGGACCTTATCATCCCTGTCTATCTATCCCTGTCTCTTTGTCCTTCCCCAGAGGTCTCCTCAAGAGATACCCTTGAGGGGATGGAGAGGTGGCTCAGCAGTTAAGAACATTGACTGTGCTCTTCCAGAGGTCCTGAGTTCAATTCCCAGCAACCACATGGTGGCTCACAGTCATCTGTCATGGGATCTGACGCCCTCTTCTGGTGTGTCTGAAGAGAGTGACAGTGACTCATAGACATACAATAAATAAATAAATCTTTAAAAAAAGATATACCCTTGAGATGGGTCCCTGGCTTGATACAGTTTCTGACCTGAGGCCTTTGTTGTCTTCCCTCTCCATCCCAAAGCTATCCACGGGAAGAACCTGGTGTCCATCCTGCACCTCCTTGTCTCCCTGGCCATGCACTTCAGGGCCCCCATCCACCTTCCTGAGCATGTCACTGTGCAGGTGGTGGTCGTCCGGGTGAGTACACTGGGCCATCTCTTTGCCCGTCTCTGCTGGTGAGGCAAGCCGACTTCTTCTTCTTGTAGTTTTCCAGCCCTTTTTTTGCCCCCTGCATCCCAAGAGCCTACCTTTTATTTTTCCCTCTTGATAAAATGCATATCTCACCCTGTTTCTTCGAGAAGTGATTGGAGCAGGGACAATGGCGTTGATTTCAAGAGCGGCACACAGGCGTTGAGGTCTAATTTCCCAGATTTCTGGAGAGAGCGTTCATTTCTCTCCGAAGCCACCGAGTCGGAATTCAATCCCCTTGAACGTGCTTATTACTCGCTGGAGGAGGCTGTGACTGGCGGAATGAAATAGACGCCCAAATTAAAGGCTCTCCACATTTGCTCCGTATTATAAGCCATCATCCCCCATTATCTCTTTTTTAAGGTTCATTTCTCTTGATTTACTCAGAGAAGGGAACCAGGACCTGGGGTCCTGCTAATGTGTGTGTGTGGTGGGGGGCAGGCCTCGATCTGCTGTGTGAACGGTCCTGTGCTTTAGTGTTCAAGCACACAGGTGCTGGCCAAGCTTGGTTACCGTGCACAATTTCACCAGGAACCATGTATTAAACACCTACTGGGTGCCAGACATTTGCCTGAACTGCTGGGGACCCTGAGTTAGGATAACCCATTTTGGCCTAGAAGAGCCATCTTATCTGCCAAAGGGCTGAGGTCACACTTGGGACCTGCATGTCAGTGTTTATGTGTCTGGAGACACTCAGCTACATTCTGTTCTCTGAATTTTTAAGTTATCTATTTTGTGGTCTGTGGTCCATGGGGACCTGGCTGAGCCTGTGTTTTCTGAAGCCATTCCTACCTCTCTACTGCCCTGGGAGCTTAGTGGTACCCTGCTGGGAAAGCCCTGTCTGACATTAAGCGGAAGGTCACCTGCCATTTCTCCCTGCTTCCTTCCCAATCAGGATGTTTGTGGTCAGCGAGAGTGACGCAGACTCAGGGGGACCATTCCTGCGGCCCTAGTCTTGGCTGCTGGCTTGTAGGCAGCGGGCCGGGAAAGGCTTCCCAAGGACACAAGGGAAAACGGTTTCTAAACCTACCTACGTCAGCCCAGGCCTCAAGAGTACTGAGCGGGCTCACCATCTGGGTATTTTCTTTCAGTCTTACACGCTGGTCCAAGACAAGCTTGGGTTTTTGGAAAATCTGACTGCCCCTGCAAGCCCCCTCCAGCGTGCTGTGCCTTGACTGGGCTTCCTGGGTTGTCTGCGCTGAGCATAAAGTAGAAGAAACTGAACAAGGAGGTCCAGCTGGATGGCAGTTTCTCAGCCCCCTAGTCCCTACTCAGAGCTTCTTTAGTTCCTCTGGACTGTCTGTGTGCTTGCTTAGGTGACCCACTAGCTTATTTGAGATGGAACAAGGCAGAACACATGACATTTCATGGCTGGAAGGCATGAGAACCAAGCCTGGCTTACCCTCCTAGCATTGGAAGCAGTGGGCAGACCTCTTGATTTCTCAGGCCTACCAACTCAGGGTGGTGTTGCTAACCTTTCAATTATCCTACTCCGAGTTTACCAATGATTTCACCAATGCCCAGCAACCAACAGGCACCTCATTCATGCTTATGCAAATATGTGAACCAAATACCCAGAGTCTTCCTTGGCAGGCTCTATTGAGTGCCAGTTGGAATGAGACCGGGAGTGAGCCACACCGAAGTCTCTAGCTGCATTTACCTGTTAACAAGGACCAGGCAGGCTACAAGATCTCTAGGGCCAGCTCAGGGAAGGGTGAGAGGGATGCCTGGTTAGGACTGGTTAAGACTCAGGTTCCTATCTCTCAGGAGCTTCAAGCAGGGACCTGTGGTTATGGCTACTTTGGCTGGCCTCTGGGAACTTCCGGTATATGTGGGCTGCCACCTCCCATCACCTCTGTTCTTCTACTGCTGCCCCTGTGTGTCTGCCAGTGTTGCTGTGGTGAAGGACCACTAACTGGGGCTTCATGTGACAGGTGGAGTTCTTCTCCCAGAACTTCCAGCTTCAGGAAAGCAGCCTTCTTTGCTCTGTTCTGTTTCTGCCAAGGCTGGTTGTGTTCAGTGTCCCTGGTTCATGGCCATGATCCTCTGTGTTTGCTCTTTCCTTTTGGGGTGGCCCACTCACTCCAGCTGCAGAGTTCATCACTTGTGGCCACTCCTAACTAGTATTAGAAGAAGAGAAGGAAAAGCAGGTTCTGATGTACTGGGTAGACGTTTGGAGGATCCCGTTTGACCAAGTGCCTACATGTTCTTTCTCTGGAGTCTCCCCAGCATGACTGGTGAACTACCCATTTCTCCTGCCCCAACTGCAGAATATGGTCTTTAGTTGGTGTTTCTTGCCTGGGATGGTTCTCTCAAGCCTTGCTTAGTGACCATATCCCATGATACCATGGAGAACAATTTGGGGGTAGTCCCAGGCACCGAAAGGGTCTCCCTTGTGGTCATCTGGAGTATACCTGTCCAGGTGTGAAGTGTGCACTGGAGTATGTGGCCCTTTCTAGGCTGGCGTCCTGCCCAGGGTCACCTATGAGGGGATTTCCCATGAGGTCACTATGTGTTCTCTCCATTGCTCTTGCCCCGTGGTCTGTGTCTTGATTTGTTTGCTTTGGGGTTTTCAGAAGCGGGAAGGCCTGCTGCACTCCAGTCATGTCTCAGAGGAGCTGACCACGACCACAGAGTAAGTGAATAGCAGCTGCTCCTCAGGGTTTGGTACCTCATGCCAACTGGCTCTCAGGGACCCGTGCCTCATGCAAGGCCCCAGGCCCCAGGCTCTGGCTTCAGACAGAAACTCTAGCCTAGGAAAGTCTGTGTTCCTCCACACTCCTTAGTCTTAGAGTGTGCTTTTTTTGTGGAGGGACTTACCTGCCTTCTTTCTCCACACAGTTTCTCCCGGGCTTTCCATGTCAATCTCTCACCTCAGAGTCTTTCACTCCTTATTTTAGGAGGTGAACTGAAGGGATGAGTTAGTCAGTAAAGTGCTTGCTGAGTGAGCATGAGGACTTGTCACAGCACCTATGTTAAAAAACAAAACAATTCAGGTACATGGTTATGTATCTATAATCTCATCACGAGGGTGGCAGAGACAGGGGGAATCTCTGGAGCCCATTTGTTAGTCTTTCTAGCCAAATCAGTGAACTTCAGGTTCAGTGAGAGACTCTGCCTCAAAAAATATGGTAGAGAGTCAATCTCTGGCCTCTACATGTATACACACACACACACACGCACGCACGCACGCGCACACACACACACAGATACATTAAACACAATTTAAAAAAAAATTTAAAAGGCTGTCAAGGGGTGTCAGGTTTATTAGCTCAGGATGTCCACCAAGGCTCAAGTTCACACAGGCCGGTCGTGTCCTGCTTGTTTTCTGGTTTTCCTCTTCTCTTGTCTATCAACAGTTGCTCTCTTAGAGCAAGGAACCAGTTAGAACTGTCCTAAGGTGGACACTGTTCAGTCCTCTGGTCTCTTTGAGAAAGCTAGACTTTTCAAAAGCCTAGAGAAACTTGACCCCAATAGCCAACCAGATAGTGTACCATGTGTGCGGCCCCACAGTACCCCAGGATGGACCCTAGGAACTCAACACCTCTGCTTCTCCTGAAGAAACCTGTTTCAGTATTTAAAACATGGCTGGTGTCAGCTAGCTCACCAGTTCTGTTCACAGAGATGCTAAGACTGTGTATTCAGTATGGCCTTACTGGAGCTGACTGGCGCAGATCCACTCAGATATGCTGAGTGGGCTGCCCGATAAGCTGAAGACATCTGGGGTGTGTGTGTGTGTGTGTTCCCCACACCATGTGCCCTCAGGGAGAGGCAGATAGCTGGGGGTTGGGTTGGGAGGGTGGGGGAAAGGCAGGTGTGTGTTGTGACAGCGCTGTGGGCCTGTGGCTGCAGAAGGGTGAGCTCAAGGAATGGGGCATGGGGTGGGGACTTGGTGGCCCATCTTGTGAGACACCACCCTTAAGTCACTGTATTTCCTCGAAAGCCCACACTCAGCCATATGAATGGGCTCAACCAGGCCATTCTTGCTGTGCCTAGTCCTGTGATGTGTACATCTCAGGGCTTCCCAGAGTCTGGTGGACCAAGGTAGTTTCTCTTACACATTATCAAGGTCAGATGCTAGCCCCAGAGACAGCCTCTGGAACACAGCTTCTGTGTGCTGGCCCTGAGGAAACACTTCCCAGATTTCACCTTAATGATGCTGGTGTCTTGTTTATCACGGCTGATTCTTCAGTCCCAGCTGGCCAGAGCCACAAATTATTTTTAAAATATCACATAAATAGCCCCATAGAGTATTTGGAAGACTCTTAGAATTCCCTCTGAAACTTTACCAGCGAGGTCTCCCAGCCTGTTTTCTGAGTTCTCACAAATGCCCATTCACCTTTAAGCATACAAATGGCTTTTGAGCCCAAAGTTCTAGAGTCCTTTCACAACTGCCTTCTATCTCAGTGGTTCTCAGCCTCACTAACACTGTGACCCTAAAGGTCATGTTGTGGTGACCCCTAACCATAAAATTATTTTTTGTTGCTACTTCACAACTGTAATTTTGAAACTGTTATGAATCATAATGTAAATATGTAATATGCAGGATATCTGATATTCGACCCTGATGAAACGGCCGTTCGACCCCTAGAAGGGTCTGGATCTCAGCCCAGAGGTTGAGCAGCACTGCTCTATCTGATGGGCGTGGCTGCCAGAATCAGCCTGCTCCCAGTTCCCATGATCCATTGTGTCTGTTCCCTCCAAATGGTATACCAGGTGGTCACTGTGCCAGGAAAGAGGGCAGTTTGCTGTCACTCTTGGGCTGATTGTCAGTCACTTGCACACACCCCTCACCTCTGTAAGGATAGAGCTGAGAAGGTTGGGGGGTGGGGGTGGGGTGTCCATTCCTATTGGGGGCCGTGGTTCTAGGGTCTGGTTGGCTTTACTAGTCTCCCTTGTAAGACTTGATCCAAGTGACAATCTGACCCTTTCTTCTTGTTCACAGGCTCATGATGGGCCGGTTTGGTAAGTACCCTGGCTTGGAGTGGGACAAGCTGAGACCCCTGGGCATGCATGGTCCAACAGAGAAAGCTCTGGGGTTCTCGAGGACATGCGTGTGAACTTGTGAACTTGGACGGGAGGTTGTGTGTGTGGGATAGCCTGGGGAAAGTCTCTAGCTTACCTTCAGGGAGGGAGGGAGAAAAGGAGGTATTTACTCTCTCACCTGATCCTGTCCCCTGGGCAAGAGAGGACAAAGGCTTCCTTTAAATTCTCAGAGGTGAAGCCTGGCTCCCTGTGTAGGCTGGGAGGCTGAGGTGGGCAGAAATTTAAAACAGAAGAACATGGAGAAGGCTGTTAGAGGGAAAAATGGAAGCCAGATAGAAGCTCCCAGCTCATTCCCAGAAGCATGTCTGACCCTGGGGAATCCTTGAGGGGAGGAGGAGAGGGGGAGAGTACCGCCTCCAAACACCAGTGCCCTTCTCTGACCTGGAGGTTATAAAGAAGGGTTGAAGGATGAGTCACCTCGGACATGCAGCTCCAATGTCGGCTGTGACCACATGGCCACTGAGCCTTTCTGATGGACAGATGCTACGCTTGCTGGGAAAATCCCCAGGGGAGATGGGTGGCAGACATGGGTCATGTGGGACCCCTGCCGGTGTCCAGGTGCAGGCTAGTTTAGAGATATGTCTCTCCCTGACACTTCCTCTACACAGAGGAGGCTCAGAACCCCTGGGGATCGCAGAGGAGGGAGGATGACGGGGACCTGAGAGTGTGGTGTTGTCTCCTCTGTGTTTGGGTTGGCCCTGTTTCAGGTTCAGAGGATTTGAAAAGAGTTGACTGGGCTGCGGGGAGGTGAACCTGGGCCAGATTAGTATCCAGGGAGCCCTGACGGCTGGGAAGAACACCTGGTCGGGTACACAGGGCGTGTCTCCTCAAGGGGAGAGCCAGGTGCACCAGGACTCAATCACAATTCCGGGGACATCTGAGGCCACAAGAAGCCTCCTCTGAGGCTGTACTCACTTCACTTCTTGCAGGCTCTGGCGTAAGATGAAACAGGCTATTAGCTAGTGACAGGCAGTTAGTTCCGCCCCCGCCTCGCACTTCTGCTGACGCAAGAAGGTCCCCTGGTTACGCAGCTGACAGCCTTAGTTTTGCTGCAGTGAGCCCCTGGGTTCCCTGGCATCCTTCTGGGGGAGTAGCGCATGGCTGTTCCAGGATTTCTGGTCACTTCGGGCCTTGCTGCCCTCCCAGGGTCTGGTCACACTACTACCATTGGTGCATAGCAGGGTCCCACCCAGCTTCAGTACACATCGCTGAGGAGGAAGTCAAAGTGACCCTTGTCATGTCTGTTTCCTGTCCACAGTCCCCACAGCAGCCTTTAAGGTTGCTCCAGACATCACACCCCCTGTGGCCTGTTCTCTCACCTCCTGAGTGTCCAGGCCTAACCCTCAGCTCCCTCACTTCCTCTATGCTTTGCCTAGGATGCCCTCCTGCTAAATTACCCAGGGTTCCCTCCTGCATTGGCTTAATTGTCACTCACCAGGGATCCCCAGCCATAAACCAGCATGCACCCTCCCTGCTACCTTCAGGTTGTCTTCCTTATGTCTAGAATCATCTAACAAACCTTGAGCCAGCCCTGCTCCCAGGACCCTCAGGGTTTGTGTGTGTGTGTGTGTGCTCCCCTGGCCCCAGGACACGGGTGCAAGTGTTAGGCTTGTAGGCACACCCATGCCCCTTCCTTTGTTCTGGGCTCTCAGTATCCTGTCAGCAGCCACTCACCCCAAGCCTGTATGATCTCAGCAGCCCTCCCTAAATCACTGTCAGGCGTGAGGAGGTTCCAAGACAGCAGGCTGATCCTCCTAGGCTGGGCTTTGCTTAAACAGGTTCCCTCAGGCTCCTTGGCCTTCAAGTGCTCTGCGAAGGTAGAGCGTCTCCTCTCTGGTCACACTTCCCTAAGGCCAGCAGTTAAGGGGTACCCAGCCTCCTCCCATCAGCATCTTGTCCTGCCTGAGGTACAAGCAGGTTTTTCTCTCCCTGGAAACCAGTCTCCTGGGAGCTGGGAGGTTAGAGCTTGGTCTCCATAGCAACGCCTTTGCCAGTTGCCTTTTCTCTAGCTAGTGGTCCTTCCTCCCTGGTTACCCCCACTCAGGAGCCCTTTCTGATGCTGACAGGATCGGGTGGGCAAGGGCGGAGGCCCCCCTCCTCGTCCCAGGCTCAGTTTGCTGTGACCCAGTCTCTCCCACTCACCTTTCCAGCAGAGCCTGTGTTAAAACTCAGACCTGACATTCACAGCCCTGGTCACTGTGCGCACAGGACACTGCACTGAAGAATGCAGCTCCTGTCAGCCTCCCTTCCAGGCCACCCTGCTCTTGAATCCACCCTGGCTCCCCATGTTTCTCTTTGCATGTTCTGTTCACTCTGGCTGCAGTGGCCTTCTCCTTCTCATCTCTCCAGCCAGCCTGGCTCAGACTTCAAGGCTCTTTCTTCCAACCTCTTGTCTAATGGGTGCAAACTTGGGTGCTGCCAGAGACCAGCCTGACAGAGTTCCCCAGAAGTCGAAGGTTATAAGAAGGGACCTGTGGAAAATAAGGGCCCCCATCCTTGTACTGGGGGGGAGTACCTTGATGCCAGGTGGCTATGTAGCTCACTGTGACCCCAGCCTCCGATTTCAAGAGGAGTCAGAAACATAGATTAGAGAGAACTTTCTAGTCTAAATAAGGCTGAGTTAGGCTCCAGGTACAGATCTGGGACCCTGCTGTCTGTGCCTTTCCAAACTAGTGACTTTTCCAGTGCAGGAGGGGAATTGATGGGGTACCCAGACGTACGTGGGATGTGGGGTTGTCCCTGTGGCTCCGCCCTGAGTCTTGATGCTCAGAGAGGTGGTGGGGAACAGACACGGTCGTTCCTGTTTACAAAGGAAGAGCCCTTTGGCTAGGGAAATGACCCGAAGTCCGTGGGCTTTCTAGTCACACAGTGAGGATTTGAACCCAGCTCTGCCCTGTCCCCACCACCCCACATCCACCCATACAGAGCCATGTTTTGTGTCCTCAAGGCTCAGGTAAGCAGCCAGCGTGGGAGGCGCCCAGCAGCCTCCCACACAGCACTCTGCCAGCCCAGCAGTGGCCCAGCTAAATAAACCAGTGACGTCAAGAGCCTGAGCTCTTGGGGCTTTGCCTAAGCCGCTTTGCAGGGCTGCACTTCTTCAGAGGACTAAGCTCCTTTTGCCCCTTTACAGATTGTTTTCTGGCGGATAATCTGACTTAGCTGATTATGGAAGTGAGTGACATCTGGTGCTAACTGAGGGTGGCTTTTTCATCCCCACCAGCCCTTAGAGGAAGGCATTGCCTCCCCCCCCCAACACACACACACATGCTTTTGTCTACAAAAGGTCCCTTCTCTCTGGTTAGCCTCTCACACTCCCAAGGCTGAGGAAGAGACCCCAGGTTGGATGGAGCTGTCTCCAGACCCTGGCTGGCATCTCTGGCACCTTCGTCTTGGGGCTAGGTTGGTAGCGGTTTCCTTTAGACCGCCCTGTTTGGTTCTTCTCCCTGGAACCCTGGCTTTTTCAGCTCACCCCAGCCTTTTTTGTTCTCCTTTCTCCTCCTCAGCAGCCCTCTTCCCCTGAGGCTGGAGAAGCCTCCCTGTGCCTTACCCCTCCAGCCAGAACTCTGTGTTGGAGCTGGGAGTGGAAGTCCTCTCTGCTAGCTGCTTCTTAGAAGCACACAATTTCCCAAGAACCAAGAAGACAGAAGTCAGGGCCCAGGTCCCTCTCAGTGCCTCCCTCCCCTAGAGACCCCAGGCCTCTGCTTGACCTGGGCTGCAACCATCTATCGCCACAACTTCTGTGCCCGCTGCACTTCTTACAGATGTAAACAGACATTTGGGTTTAGAGGGCACCTCTGGAGGGATTCCAGGTTCTTGTGTCCCTGAACAAAGAGCAGAGCAGAGACACACAGTCGCAGCCAGGGCAGCCTATGGAACATCCACTTCTGAGGGAGAAAGTTTCGCCTCCAATGGCAGAGCCAGGCTTTCCTGTTACCTTAGAGCCGGCTTTCCCCTCCTTTGCATAGCGAGGATATTTTGGTTCATTGGCATAGAGTAGGTTTTTCTGAGTGTGTGCTATTTGTTACATGTAGTTCACACAAATTCATGTGTCAGCATGTCTCACTAGCATCTTAAATCTGCCCCCAGGGGTGTGCCACACGGTTACAATGAGCCCCGGGCCACCCTCAGACACTTCGGAGTGCATGTGACCTGAGCCAGAGGCATACGCAGATCTTCAGATTTAATTTGTTTTTCTTTGTCAGCCCTGGTGGACTGGGGGTGTCCATTGTGGTTAGGGAGGGCTTTGAGGGTTCCAGTGTTCCTCCTCTTTGCCAACTTGTTCCTTTCAGATGCTAATTTTGTAGAGGCCTTCTGGCCTCTGGTGGCCTCAGGTAGAGGATGGGGACTTCTGTGCTGATTCGTTTGGGTGGCAGTTAGAATGAACAGGTTGTGGTTCATCAGGGAAGAGGAAGGTCATGGGCTACCTCAGGGAGAAGTGAGCCGCCTGCAGGTATCCTGCAGAGAACACCAAAGGGGGAGAGGATGGACCACGGTCTAAGAGCGATGAGAGGTAGGGTTTTGAGGAGCCAGTGGTGAGAAGTTGTCCAGTTGCACATTTAGAGATTCTGGCTGCTGAGGGGGAGGAGGTCAGTGGAGCTGGAGGCTGTGGCCATGGAGAGGTAAGAGGAGGTGGATCAGGCGTGGGGGCAGCAGACCTGGGCAAGAGTAGAAGAAGTGGGAGTCACAGGTAGTGATAGCACTTAGGAAAGGAGAGTCGGGGATGCTTCAAGGGCTCAATGAGAACATGCGGGTGCCCATGTGTGACCTGGTATCCCGTACCCAAAGCTTTCCTGCTACCCAGGAAGCCCCACACAGCCCTTGTTCATAAGGCAGCTCATGACCCCTGCTTTACTTATACTCCGGGGCTCCTGCAATGTCAGCCTGCAGGATCCTCTGCTCTGGCAGAAGCCAGAGGGATCAAGCAAGCTGGAACCCCAAGGCAGAGCATCCAGAGAGGGCTGTTTCAAGAACTGATAGCTGAAGGTTGGGCTCAGGGTAGGGCTCAGGGCAGCAGAGTCCTTTCTAGAACTTTCTGTGTTCTCTTTGCATGTCATTCAGAGCGGGATGCCTTCGACACGCTTTTTGACCATGCGCCGGACAAGCTCAACCTTGTGAAAAAGGTAGATTATCTCACTCTCCAGCCTGCCCCCCAAGGGACCTGTGCTTATGAACACTCCTCTGTCTAGACTCTCTGTAGACCCAAGGCAGGCTGAGGCGGGGATGAGAGACATTTAAAATTCCTAACGTTTGCCTTGTGTTTTATTTTTTTCCCCTTTCCCTTCTCCCTCTTGCTCTAGCCCTGCTCCCTCTGGCCTTTTAAAATTTATTTATTATATGTAAGTACATTGTAACTGTCTTCAGACACACCATAAGAGGGCATCAGATCTCATTACGGATGGTTGTGAGCCACCATGTGTTTGCTGGGATTTGAACTCATGACCTCCAGAAGAGCAGTCAGGGCTCTTAACCACTGAGCCATCTCACCAGCCCTTGCCTTGTATATTGAGACTTCTTCTCTCAGCAATGTGTGCTATGGTGATGCTCTCTTACACTAGGGTCACGTAGAACAGATGGAACATACAGCTTGGTTCTTGTTGGCGCTGTGTCATTAAAACTAGGGCTGGCTTAAGAGCCTGGAGTCTGACACAACCTTTTTCGTGATAGCCATCAGAGGAGGGTTTGGAGTAGGCCAGCCTGCCATACTGGGGGTTCAGGTGGGGGGCAGGGTCTGGAGAAGGTTTGCTGATATTGCCTTTGCCTCTTTGCCTTGACAGTCTCTCATCACGTTTGTGAACAAACACCTGAATAAGCTAAACCTGGAGGTGACTGACCTGGAGACCCAGGTAAGCAAGGCTTTGGTGGAGGGTCCCTCTGGCCTGTGCTTCTTGTAGCTCTCAATGCAGGTCGGTGTGGGAATAAGCAGGGCCACCTTGTTTCTCTCAGGAGGAGCTCCCAGAATGTACCTCACGGTATTGCTCCAGCCCTACCAAGCTGGATGTTTAGACCCTCTGCTTCCTGTAGCTGTGGCAGCCAAGATGGAAGGCCAAAGCCAGGGGCTCTGTGGTGTGGGAGTCCAGAGTCACAGTGTGGGCAGGCTGGCTCCTTCCCACTCTCGCTGTGGCTTCCGCTGCGTTTCTGCAGGCAGCTCTGGTGTTCTTACATCTATAGATGTATTACTTCCATCTTCTGCGGCCTCCTCCTGTGTCTGCATCTGTGTCTGCATGTCTGCATGCTGGTGCACACGGCTCTCTGTGCCCCGTCTGTTTCCCAGAGGTAGGGTCTAGAAATGGATGTCTGAGAGCAAGGAAGCGTCGTGCTGGGATAGTTGCCCACACAAGGGCAACTGAGACCCTGTGTCCAAACGACGTCACAGGCACAGAGTCTAGGGATTAGAGCTTATTTTGGACAGATACAGTTCAACTTTCAGCACCCACCCCCAAGACTCCATCGATCCTGCCACAGGCCCTTTGTTGTGAGGGTCTCTGGGTCTAGAACATTTTGTGCCCTCTGCTTCAGTGGTGGAGACATGGCCGCCTCTCATTTGATCCCTTGGCAGTATGAAGACAATGTCTCATCCAACCTGGGGCCAGTGAGATGGCTCAGCTGGTAAAAGTGATTGTCAAGCAAACCCGATGACCTGAGTTTGATCCCCGGGGACTCACATAGTAGAAGGAGACAACTGGCCTCTGCAAGTTGTCCTCTGACTACATAGGGACCGTAACACTAACCTGATGCCCCACCCCATACATCATACAAATTACAGAAATAGTAATAAAATTAGCATCCATTTGGGGACTAGGGACAAAACACTTCTGCCATTTGTACCTCAAACATTCCCTCCTCAAGTTAGAGTGCCCTTGTGGTGACAGTCTACAGGCACACACATGCCTTGAAGGCCCAACTGAATCCCCAACACCCCCCTCCCTCCCACCGGCTTAGTTGTGTGGTTGAGTTTTGAGCCAGAATCCTTGGTACAGACATCCCTAATACGCAGCTGATCCATCTTAAACCCCTGGGCATTTTCTTCTATTGCTTTCTCTTTCTTTAACTTCTTCTCATTTGCTTTTCTAATTAAAAAAAGTAATTCAGGTTCATCGTAGAAATGTCTGAAAATGAAGATAAGGAAAATAAATAAAAGTTGCCCTAATCTATCACCCCAAGGGCGCTGCACCCCGGGCATTGTTCCAAGCACTTCTCCTGGGTATTCTGGGTGTAGGCAGTGTGGTCTGCATTACGGAGCAGATTGTGTGTGTGCGTGTGTGTGTGTGTATGTGTGCACACATGTGCAAATGCGTGTGCATGATTTGCAAATGCGTCTCTTATTCTTGGCTGTTTGCTTATGCAGTATGCTTTTGCTTATGCAGTATGCTTGCTGTGTGACACTTTAGATTTCCTGAAGCTCGGGTAGCTAAAGTGAAAAGCTGTTTCTCTCCCTCCCTGTTGTCCCCCACCCCCAACTCCGCCTGGGTCTCTTTCAAAGTGCTCATGCATAAAACAACACACTCCCTTTAATAACAGTCGATCACACCGGACAGCTGTTGTGTAATGTGTTGTTTTTTTTTTTTCTCCCCTAAATACATGGGCATCTTTTTGTGAGAGATGGATATCTCTGTCTGAAGCTATTTCGCTTTTCAGTCTGTCAGAATGCTCTCCCTCCCTCCCTCCTTCCCTTCCTCTCTCCCTCCCTCCTTCCCTCTCTCCCTCCATCTCATCCAGACTAGGGATTCACCTTTGCCTTGGATTCACTTTGTAGCCCAGGCTGGCCTTAAACTTTTAGTCATCCTCCTGTCTCAGCCTCCTGAGTGCCAGGGTTATAGGCATGCAGCACTATGGCTTGCACTGGACTCTTTTAACAATAGCTGTCTTAGCTTGGGTGGTGCGGCTCAGTAGCATAGCCATTTGCTGAGCATGCTCAAGCCCTTCGTTCCCTCCCCAGCACTGTTGAAATAATTTCCTTCCCTTCAGGTGTGAGGCTTCATTGGAGTAAGGCAGCCCCGTGATTGGGCCCCTTCCTGTTCCTGTGCACACTATATGGCAGGTGTTCTGCTTAGTTATTTGTACCCTGTCTGGTTCCTTGGGGGGGTTAACATCTAGTAATGAAATCAGACATGGAGTTGTAAGAACAAAGCAGCGTGCACCATGAGGCCTTCTAGGGTCTGATCATGGAAGCTGGGACCGGCTGCGTGGTCAGCTGACCCACATCTGCTGTAGCCCACCCAGCATTTCTTCTGTGACCCTGTAGGACACACAGCCAGGGCACCTTAGATCAGGGGAAAATCTGCATTTTTACTTGTTTTTTTGTTTTGCTTTTCATTTTTCTTCCTTCTAGGCTATCTTACAATGTCAGGTTAGTAACATCTGCTTTAACTATCACTGGCATCCACTTAAATCTGTGCTTGGTGGCTGGTTCCCTGAGTGGTCCCCTAGAAGGCCTGCCACCTGCTAACAAATGACATGATGTCCTTTGTTTGTTAGAGACAATTTCCCTCCAAGCTCCTGGTTTTTAAAATCACATATTTGTGGGGTTCCCTTTTCCATTTAAATGCTGTTGGATGACTCTCCAAAGCGGTCCCTACCCTTCTTCAGACTCTTCTTTACACATTTGGAGATGCTGGTCTCTGCAGGCTGAAGGCCTCCAAGGCTCCCCATCCTCTCTTACCTCTCCAGGAGTCCTGCCTGGGAATCTCAGAAGACTGGTGGAGGTGTTCTGTGGGCTTGTCATTCACTGCTGTAGTCACTGGCCACAAGTACTGAGGGGGAAATATGTCTGGTACCATTAGAAGCTACCTTTTGTATTTTAATAAGTTTTTAAAGGGCCAAATTCAGGGGCCAGCAAAATGGTTCAGAGGATGAAGATGCTTGCTTCCAAGCCTGACAAACCTGAGTTTGATCCTGGAAACTGCATGGTTGAGGGAGAGAACTGACTCCCTCAAACTGTTCTCTGACCTCTGTGTATGTGTGTGTGTGTGTGTGTAGATCAATAAATAATGTAATTGAACAAGAATCAAGGGGACTGGAGAGATGGCTCAGCAGTCAAGAGCAGTTGCTACTCTTGTGAAGAAAGGACCTGGGTTTGGTTCCCAGCACCCACGTGGTGACTCACAACTGTCTTTAACTCCAGTTCCAGGGGACCCAGTGTACTCTTCTGATTTCCGTGGACATTAGGCATGTACATTGTGCATATACATACATACATACATACATACATACTTACATACATTCTTGTAGATATAGAACACTCATACACAAAACAAATCTAAAAAATGTTTTTAAAAATATATTCAAGCTCAAGACTTTAGTATATTGCTTGCACAGTAGTGTTGTTACCTGCTGTCTTAGGGTTCTACTGCTGTGAACAGACACCATAACCATAGCAACTCTTATAAGGACAACATTTAATTGGGGCTAGCTTGCAGGTTCAGAGGTTCAGTCCATTATCATCAAAGCAGGAACATGGCAGCATCAAGGCAGGCATGGTGCAGGAGGCGCTGAGAGTTCTACATCTTCATCTGAAGGCTGCTAGCAGAATACTGGCTTCCAGGCAGCTAGGATGAGGGTCTTAAAGCACACGCCCATAGTGACACACTTACTCTATCAAGGCCACCCTTCTTAATAGTGCCACTCCCTGGGCCAAGCATATACAAGCCGTCACACTGGTTGTTTACTTTGAGCAGTGAAGATGTATAAATTGCCACAGTTGAGATGGATAGACAGGGGATGAAGTCAACAGAGGTTGGGTGAGAGAGGACAGGTGCCATGTGACCCACATGTGTGAGGTCCCCCAAGAATAAAACCCCTATTCCTATTATCACTTCCCAGTACCCACATAGCGGCTCACAACTGTATGTAACTCCAGTTCTAGGGTATTCAATACCTTCTTCGGACATCTGTGAGCACCAGGCATACATGTGGTACACATACAGATATATACACAGGAAAAAACAACCCTCAATCATATAAAATAAATCTAAAAAAGTATTGACATTGTTTTAAACTGGTTAAGTTGGTAAATGCTGTGTAATGTATCTCAGGTAGTCATTGCTACCTCTGCAAAAGGAGCCGTTGCCTCTTCCTGGGTTGCTCAAGGAAGAGCATAGGTGTCAAGAGTGGGGGTCTTTTGTGCTGTACCCCTAGTCTCTTCCTGTGGGTGACTAGGGCATTGGCCTCCTTTTCTTCTCTTTTTGCCTTTTCTTCAATGAATTTATTTATTTATTCATTTTATATCCAGATTGTTGTCCACTCTGTTCCTTCCCCCTGCCCCATCCCGTGACCTCTTTTCTTGAGCTCTGCTGAGGGTTCACAGGACAGGGTGGGGATACTGGATGGAGTTGGGGTCCTAGGGTGGACACTGCAACCTATAGGCCAGTCCCACATTCTCCTGCACACACGCAGGGTGTCTGTCTGTCCACTGCACACACACACAGGGTGTCTGTCTACTGCACACATGCAGGGTATCTGTCTGTCCACTGCACACACACAGGGTGTCTGTCTACTGCACACACACAGGGTGTCTGTCTATTGCACACTCACAGGGTGTCTGTCTGTCCACTGCACACACACAGGGTATCTGTCTACTGTACACATGCAGGGTGTCTGTCTGACCACTGCACACACACAGAGTGTCTGTCTACTGCACATACGCAGGGTGTCTATCCACTGCACACATGCAGGGTGTCTGTCCACTGCACACATGCAGGGTGTCTTTCCACTGCACACATGCAGGGTGTCTGTCCACTGGACACATGCAGGGTGTCTTTCCACTGCACACATGCAGGGTGTCTGTCCACTGCACACATGCAGGGTGTCTGTCCACTGCATACGTGCAGGGTGTCTGTCTGTCCACTGCACACACACAGGGTGTCTGTCCACTGCACACATGCAGATGTCTGCCCACTGCACACACGCGGGGTGTCTGTCCATTGCACACATGCTCCAGAATTGTCACTGAGTTTTCTCTGCAGTTTGCAGATGGCGTGTACCTGGTTCTACTCCTGGGCCTCCTTGAAGACTACTTTGTCCCCCTCCACAACTTCTACCTGACTCCTGAGAGCTTTGACCAGAAGGTAAGTGCCTTGTTTCCTGGGAGTGGCCCCAGCCATGCTCCCTGGGGGGAGATAGAATGTCCCTTGGTGGCAAAGGGGAACTTTAGCCCCTCAATATCCTTTAGAATGTGAAGCCACACACTATCTGGGATTCAATCTGATTTAGCTCCCTGGAGACAGACTGGGAAACCCCTTAGTGGCATGCATGCCCCTGTATGATGCAAGTGTGTTGCTTCGTTATGTCCCTGACAAGTCTTTCCCACAGGCTAATATTGTTTTTAATGATGCTGGTCACAGCCCCCTGGGTTTCCCCATTTTGGGAGCCTCCAAATGTCATGTCCCTGGATGACACACGTGTGGTTTTGCAGTGTGTGCCTCCTGCTTCTAGCGCCTGGCTACGTCAATTTGCTTCTATTTTTCCTCTTGGCACACTGGGCTTTTCTCAAATATTTACGATAGTCCTTCTGAATCTGCTGGGGACAGTTTCCAGGGCCCCCTTGGGTACCGAAGCAGGCAGATGCTCAAATCCCACATGTGAAATGTCGTATAAAGCAGAAAGCCTACGCACTTCCTCCTGTAGATGTTAAATCCTGTCTGGTGGCTTATGATACTTAATGCAAATATGCAAATGATATGCAAAGTAGCTACTTTCTGTATTGTTAGGGAGCAACAGTGGAGGGTGCTTGTTCAGTATGCTGCAGACACTATTGGAAATTAGTGTCATCTGAAGCTATGCATGCGTGTGCACATACATGTGTATGTGTGTATGTGTGCACACACACATGAGAACATGTGCATGTGTGTGTTTGTATGCATGTGTATGTCCCTCTGTGTATACATACATGACTGTGTGTATGTCAGTGTATGTACTTATGTGTGCATATGTATGTACAATTATATGCCTGTGTATAAGCGTGTATGTGTGTGTATATATATGTCTCTATGTTCATGAGTATATATACATATAAGTATGTATGTGTATTCATTTATATAAATATGCATGTCTATGTATGTGTGTATTTATGTATTCATGTATATGTGTATGTGACCTCATATATGCCTGTGTGTGTGTGTGTATCCTCATATAAGCCTATGTGTGTATATATATGTGTGTGAATGTGTACATGTGTGTATGTATGTATTTGTGTGCATACATGTCTGTATATATGTGTGTGTGGTGGGACTGTGGGACTGTGTGCATGTATGTATATTTTATTTCTGTGCTTGGTTTCTTAGAACATTCGTCCTGTAGGAGCCTTTGGGTCAGCCCTTGAGTTTGTCTCTGTATCTGCTCTTCCTGTGCTCTCTGTCCTTTCCAGGCTCCCTGCAGTTAGGTCTGTCACTGAAGAGTTAGTGCCTCACTTCTGGGGACTTGGCAGAGACTAGTCTGGGTTGCTTGGGACTCATGGCACCTGCCACTTTATTTTTCCAAAGTGCGAGGCCCATGAAGCACAGAGGCAGACGGTGGCAACGGCAGTGGGAGCAAGGGTGCCAGCAGAGAACGGGCCAGTGTTTATCAATCTGCCGGTTCCTGGCACCAAGCAGTCTGTCTGCTCATGGCCAAATGTCGTTCCTCTCGTGCCTGCAGAGAGAGAATTGGATGGATTAGAGAGGTCTTGGCATGTTGGAGCCCACACTGGGGATGAAGAGAGAATGGGAACAGTGAGAAATGACGGGTACAGAGCTCGTCAGGACCACAGAGCTGCTGGAGTTGTAGAAACCAGAGGTCAGACTGTCTGGTGAACAGGTTCTAGCATATCCAGGCCCCTATGTGGCTATATTATCTCCAGGAAATCATGTCTTTGTTTAAACTAATAAGGAGGCCAATGAGAACAGTGGATTTAACCAGTAGAACAGGGTCTTTGTCCAAACAAGGCTTTGTACAGATGGCAGAAGCCTCATTCCCCAGTTTGACTTTCTTTCTTTGAAACCAGGCCACTGCCCTGATCTAAAAATCAAGGACACTTCTGTCGATGAGCACACAGAAAGAGGGTCCTCCCACTCTCCAGGGAGATGAGAGGCCAGGGTGTTGGACTCTGAAGGCATCTGGGGCTGCCTCGTCAGGCAGGCATGAGGACTGCATCCCTTTCTTACATATTTACATACATGTTCTGACCTCTTCCTCCTGGGGTAGTGGTGAGGGTCATGACAGCAGTGATTGCCACACCTCTGTGAACCTTGAAACACACGTGCGTACACACACACACACACTCACACACATATTTGTCTCCTAGTCTCAAGGGCTGGGAGAACCATGCCCTGGACTGAGGCAGGCAGTGTCTCTAAAGCTCTGTGGCCTGAGGCTGAGGGTCCTTTGCTCTGACCCAAGGCATCTTGGTGGCATCTCAAGAGTCCAGAAGGAGGCAAAGATTTGGCAAGCAGAGTAGGGGGTATACGAGGGGGTGCTCCCTCCAGCATAGCAGAAGCATGTATCTTTAACCAAAGATATTAGGCTGGGGAGTGTGGTTTGGTTGGTAGAGTACTTGTGTAGCCAACACACGCCCTGGGTTCGATCCCTGGCTTTGTTTAAACAGGCACAGTGATAAACATCTGGAATCACAGCGCTTGAGAAGTGGAGGCAGGAAGATTAGGTCAAAGTTATCGTCCTATACTTAGTTCGAGGACAGTCTGGGCTAAATGAGACTGTTTCAGGAAAAAAAAAAAAGACAAAAGCAAACAACATTAGGTTGGAGGAATAGCTCAGGGGCAGAGCTTGTGCCAACTGCACAGGAAACCCAGGATTCACTCTCAGCACTGGGGCAGGAGTCAGGAGTAGGGGTGGGATGAGCCACAGGACTGGGCAGCTCAGACCCTGTGGGTTCTTGCCTTCTGTTGATTAGTAATTGACATGATAAGAAGATTATTGCTGGCATTCATGGACCACTCATAGTGGAGTGACAGATAGTGCTACTACTGGAGAGACAGTTGGTCCCTATAAACCCTAGGGCCTGTCCAGCTGGCGGCTCTGCACTTGCTGGTTTCATGGCCCATCTTCCCATCCTCCTTTGCTCAGGGCAGGTGGAGGCTGCACATGGTTTGGTTGGTCTCGACTCCCATAGACTTTAAATAAGATAAAGGGCCCTCCCTGCAACTTGGAGTTTCTCCAGCCGTTAGCAGAATGGAAGCCTCAACTGAGTGTCCAATTGGATGGGCAGGACAGGGCAGGGTGGTCAGGCAGGTAGATGTTAGGGGGTAGGACCAGGGGCCTCCATGCTGGCCTTTGAACTAACCTCAATTCCAACAGGGTTCCTACTGCCTCAAGGGCAGTGTACCCCACAGAGACACAGCCAGGCCTCCAAGAATGCCCAGCCTGCCCAGCTCTTTAGTTATCTGACCAGGTAGCATGAAGCTGCCTTGTGCTCAGAGGAGCATCCTAGGGGCTGGGCAAGGGACTTGTCTTCCCTCAGCCTCAGTTTTCCAATCTGTCATTTCTTACCATGTAGTAAATTCTGGCTCAGAGGGAGCACTTGGTTATGAGTCCTGTGTGGAGGAGGGCAGACTGGGAGCTGCCATGAGGTTCTTCCATGAACCCTAGATCCCTTGCAAGGGAAAGAGGAATTGTTGAGTTATCCCCATGGACTCCCTGTGTGTGTCTTCCCAGTGTCCTGTCCTGTATCTTAGTGGGCTTTGTACAAAGAGAAAGAGTCAGTTCTTTCTACACAGAAGGAAGGATTGTGTGGACATGGTCGGGTGTGGGGGGATGGACTTTACTGTCACTGACCCTGCTCCTGTCTTGTCCCTGGTAGGTGCACAATGTGGCCTTTGCCTTTGAGCTGATGCTGGACGGAGGACTCAAGAAGCCCAAGGCACGCCCTGAAGGTAACACCCACCAGAGCAACTCCAAGCATAAAGAGAGGGACAGCAGGGGTCAGGGCCCCAGGCAGCCTGCATGTCCTTTGGATAGGTGCCAGGCATCTTTCTGCTACGTGTGTGGCAGTAGAGCCCACAGTTCCTGGAGTCTGTCCTCTTCAGTCAACGCTGTTTCTTTCTGCAGATGTGGTGAACTTGGACCTCAAGTCCACTCTGCGGGTCCTTTACACGCTGTTCACCAAGTACAAGGACGTGGAGTGATGGAGCAACTGATCCTTCAGGGACAAGTTCTAGGCAAGAAAAATGGGTGTATCCATCCACCGTCCCTGCTTTCCTAGGAAACACCTCCCCAGGGAGGCCTCAGGCTTCCCAGGCCCAGCGGTGTGCTGCCTCTCCTCTCTGCTCCCGGCCTGGTTTGGTTTTAAACCCTTTCCCCGTGTGGTTCCCTAGCTGGTTAGGTCGTTGAGAACTTGGTGCTTCAAACACCCTCTCTGGTTTGAGGCCTCACTTCCTCTTTTTCTCTGCCTCCCCCAAAAGATGAGAAAGAACAAAGGCCCAGCCTAGCCCTCAGCTGGAGAGGGCTGTCCACCTGTGCTCCAACCCACGGAGCAATTACTTCAACAGCCCTGGCTCCAGGGACTCCGCCCCATTTGTCCTCAGGAATCCCCTGGGCTGGGCTCTCCTTGGAAGCAGAGTCTCAGTAAAAAGATCTCAGTTTTTCACTCCTGAGTCTCGGAAGATTTAGACTCCTGACGTGTGTCTCCACCCCCATCCGTCTTGCGGTTTGCTGATTTTAACCGACCTTTTAGATGAACTCTCAGGACCCAGAATGCCTTGGGGCCCCAGGGCAGCTTGTACAGGGCATGTCTAGGTCTCTTGCTGGCTCTGAATGTGCAGCTTGAGCCGGCTTGGAGTCGGAACCTTCCGTCTCTGAGGCCCCGTTAGGGAATGGACACATTTTTAGAGACTTTACAAGAGGGTGGGAATCCATTACGAGGGCTGCCTGACCACAGGCTACCGGCAGCCAGGACGACAGAGGCGTGCATCTGGCGGCTCTGGAGGCTGAGAGTAGGAGACAGAGGTGCTGGCAGGCTGCCTTTCTCTGCCTTCACACCATTCCTCCTCCTCTATTAGTCTCCTCTTCATTCTGAAGTGGAACCATCCCCTGTATAACCTCACTGACCCCGTGATGTCCAAAAGCCCCCCCCCCCATCTCCAAATGCAGTCTTCCTTTGACCAGCCAGGAATGGGTTTGCGATGTGTGTCTCAGCAGGCAGTGGGACCTATGAACCATCCACATCCCTCCTAGATGCTGCTTGACTTTGGGGGTGGTGCTGTGGCTGGCTGGCTCCTTGTCTCAGGAATCCTGCTTCTGTGGTTCACCGCTCTTCATGCTCCTCCTGCCTCTCACCTGCAGTACAGCTACCCTCTTTCTTGAGCCTTCAGAGGTCATGGCCAGCTACAGAGAGCCTTCCTTTCCTGATTCCCACCTTACCATGAACCGGGGTTGTGGGGTGAGGCTTTAAAACTGAGCTGAACACCAATAGTGACGTTCCGGAAAACAGTTTAATATCTTCCCTCGGTTCCACTGTTGCTAAGCTGGGGATGAGGCTTGGAATAGCCACTCAGGTAGAGGAGGCTTCCCAGCAGGGTGAAGGGATAATTAAAACGGCATTACCGTGTCTCCCTGTGGGATGCGGTGACATTAAAGAGCCACACTGACAAAATACCCGGGACTGGAAGGTTCTGTGCTGCCTTCCTCACAGACAGAACCACAACAGCATCTGAGAGCTGCTACAACCGCTTTGCTCTGCTCACAGGTAATCTGAGGCAGGGAGCCTAGATGCAAAGACTTATGGTGCTGAAGGGAAGAAAAGGATTGGTCTGGGAGGGGCTATGGTTTCCTGAGATTCCTGATCTGGAGGGGAAAAGTCCTGCTTGGAATCCAAGCTGGCTCCTTTGCCTGAGGCAGAACTTGGGAACATCCCCACCCCACCCTCCCACCCCCTCCCTGAAGGTGTGACCTTCCCCATTGTCTGAGTGTGGAGGTATGGTTCTCACACACCAGTGAAGGGATGTCCTTGCTGTCCCTTTGCTGTGGAGCGGGCATTTACACCATTGTCTGGACAAAGGCACCAATAACTAAGATACCTAGGCCAACTTCAGGGCTACCCATGTAAGACAAGGCTTTCTTCACAGAAAAAAAAAAGGAGAACCCCTGCCCAAATGACCTCAGGTAACCAGTGCCCACCCCCAAACTTTCCCACAGTTCTCCTTGGGGGCCCCCTGGAATACAAATAACTTCTCTTTGAGCTGAAGTTCTGGAACCTTCTACTGATTGGATTTTCATACTCTCCTGATATTGTTGAGAGGTCTGGCCACTAAAACTGGTAGAAATGTCATTATCTGTCACCCCCATGGGGTCTTGAAGTTTTGGACAGGCAAGTCTGCACCCCTGCCCCCAGGTCTGCAGGCCAGGGCTGGGGTTGCTTGCTTCTGAACTGCGCTGATTAGCACATCCCGTCCAGTTCTCCAGACCGCTGTGGACCCGCAGGCAGCTCTTGTGCCCCATTTGCACCCAGTTGTGCAAGCCCCGAGCTCAGGGCCCCTGTATCCTTCCCCATCGGCCGACGAAGGGGGAATCTTATATCCAAGCAGCCGAATCTGTTACGCCCCCCCCCCCCCAGTGGCAGCGCTTTATTGTCTTTTTAATTGTTTGAAGCAATGTGTCCTTTGGATTTCTGGATATTAAATAAAAACCACTAAACCCCCTGCTGTGCTTTGATCAGACCCTCCTGGCAGACAGCAGGGGCAGCGTGCTTGCAACAGCTCAAACGAGTGGCTTCCTGTGCCAGACATTCAGGAGGGAGACGAAGCTGGGGGTGTCACAGTGTGCTCTGACTTACTCTAGTTTTGAGTTCTGATACACCAGCTGGCCCTTGGCTCTTTACAGGGCTGCTTCTCACACGTTTCCGGTCCATTCTCCCTGCCCAGAGCTGGGGCTGCATCATTTCACATGGCCAGGCTGGCTTGAGCTTTCCCTCTGATGCTACCAGGCAGAGGCTGAAGGCAGTATCTACTGGTGAGGAGCAGAAGGCCTGGGGGATGGGCTCTCTGGCTCTCTCTGTGGAAGGAGTAGGAAATCAAAGCCAGCCTGTGATAGCAACCTCAACTGGGCATTTTGTACCCCCTCCCTTGAAGAAGTCCTGCACTTCTGGTACATTTTCTCTACAGAGTGATGCTCACTGGGAAATCAAGAGTTCAAGGCTAGCCTGGGCTACATAGTTCAGGGTAGCCTGAGCTATAGAGTGAGAGCCTGTCTCAAAACAGTTTCCCCTACCCACAATGCCTAACTGGCCTGGACAGCAAGTCAGTGATGCTATTTAAACAGACAGACTAGGGTTGAGAGATGGCCCATGGGTAAGGTGCTTGTTGGGTAATTGGGAAGACCTGAGTTTCAATCTCCAGCTTTATCTGCTGGATGTGGTATTGGGAGTCCATGATCCCAAGTAGAAACAGAATCTCTGGAAACTCAGGGGCCAGCTACCCTGGTGAACACAGCATGGAACATCAGAGTCCCTGACAACCGACAGCTGAGGTAGTCCTCTGACTGCTACACACATGCCATGACATTGGTGTGCCCTGATTCACAACATAAAGAATGTGTGTGCATACACGTAAACTCTTTTAAAAGACTAGTTAGAAATGACAAACTGTGGCTGGGAAGGATTTAGGTGTTGGATGGGCTCTTGGGCTCCAGCCCAGCTTTGTTTTCCAGTGACTGCTGGTAGGTTAATTTGCCAGAGCCTTCCAGTTCTGAGGGAGAGAAATGAGGCATCTTCAGTACCATGTCCCTAGGCGATGTGTTGTAATGTCTGGATTGGTTCTCACAACTCTGAGCTGCTAGCCTGTTGTGGAGGCTCGGCTTGCTACGGACATCCTACAGCTCTCTGGACAAGAAAGAATTAGTGTCCCCAAATGTTACTGTGCTCAGTCTGGGACACCCTGAGGTAAACTGCTGGTTCCTGGGGTAGCTGCTCATCTTGGCTTCTTTTGTACAGGCTTTATCTGTCACTACTAATGAAGGGGTAAAAAAATCCTCCACAGCTGGGGCCACGGATCAGCCGGTAGAGTTCTTGGCTAGATACTTCCAGGGTTTTGTTAGGAATCGGAGACAGGAAGGGGGCCTTGAGTTGAAGAGTGGACCAGACTACTACATCAAACCACAACACTACATAATCACACACAATGGCATAGGTCTATAGCCTCAGTACCAGAGGGCTGGAGGCAGGAGGATCAGGAGTTCAAGATCACCCTCTGCTATACAGTGAATTCAATTCAAAGCTAGCCTGACCTACATGAGACCCTGTCTAAGGAAAAAGGGATGTGTGTGTGTGTGTGTGTGTGTGTGTGTGTATGTGTGATATCTTAGTTTGCTTTCTATTGCTGTGATAAACACCAGAACCAACCTGGAGAAGAAAGGATTCATATCAGCTTATACTTTTGCATGATACTTCTTCATTGAAAGAAGTAAGGCAGGTACTAAAGAGGGGCAGGAACCCAGAGGCAGGAACTGAAGCAGAAGCTACAGAGGAACACTGCTTCCTGGCTTGCTCTTCATGGCTTGCTCAGCTCTCTTACAGAATTCAGGGCCACCTGCCCTGGGGATGACACTGCTCACAGTGGGCTAGCCCCTGCCACATCAACTATTAATCAAGAAAATGTCCCACAGGCCAATCTGGTAGAGGCGTTTTCTCAGTGGAGCCTCTATCTTCCCTAGTTTGTGTCAAGTCGACTCAAGAATGTGTCAAGTTGAAAAAAAAAAACCACCCCTAATTAGCACATACTAGACACCAGTGATTTGTGACCAGCTGTGACATGTGATCCTTCAGGGACCTCTGATTGCCTCTTCTCACCGGGTCTTTTTCGGGGGTTTGGGAGGTGAGTCCTGATTGATCAGAGTCAGTGGAGTGGCCAGAGATGGCTGAGCTCTGGATCAGGAGACTGTATGGATGACTTCTGGTAAACTAGGGTGACAGGGCACAGCAGGGTTTGAACATGTATGGGAGCTCAAAGCCAGCTCAGAGGAGGACACAGAGCGGAGGGCTCCCTGGGCTGCCCAGGGCTTTGTGTCCCTTATTTCTCACAGAAATGTTCTGTTCCATTCTTCTGGGCTGACCATCTGTTGTCAGGTCCCTGCTGAAGCCCCCCCAATTGAGAAGTTTCTTGGGGTCCCTCCTTCCTTTGTCACTCATCTGGGATTGTGGCCACAGGGAATTCAGACAAGGAAGGGGCCACCTGCTGTGACCTCTGCAACCTTCCCCAGACTAGAGCTAGGACACTGCTATCCTGGGACAACCTCTTAGAACTGGGAAGCTGAGGCCTGTTGTGGAGGCCCCATCTTTGAGCTTCAGGAAGTTACTGTCAACACCATCAAGGGTGGTCTTTGCACTGAGCAAGGTGTGGGGACCCCTATGTAGGCCCCCCACAGAAGGAACTTTTTACTGAGCATCTACTGTGTACCACACTTGCTCGTGAACGCCACATCTGTGATGAGAGACTGTTGGAGTCCGGCCCCATGTGCATCTCTCCCCATTGGCCATGGAACATTGTGACTCACTGGCTTTGCGGACTGACATCTCGAATGACATGTAGCGCCTGGTGAACAATTCAGAGTCCGTGGTTGCTTGGGGTACTGTCTTGGTTTTGTTTTCTGTTGTTATGACAAAATGTCTGAGACGGTAATTTATAAAACACAGAGGTGGGTTTGGCTCCTGATCCTAGAGGTTGGGAAGTGTGTTCTCCAGCGGTATTGACATCAGTTATGGACTTTCCAGGACAAGAGGGCAGAGCACGACTTATGGAGAGGCAGAAAAAGAGTTCTAGCTTAGGTCCCCCTTTTTCTTACAGCAGCGAGCCTGAAAACCCCAGTTTCAGAACTTCACTTGATCCTACTTCTCTCCCTTAAGCTCTGCCTCCAAACGCCATTAGCATGTGACTAGGGACCAGTCTCAACTTGTGAACTTTTGGTAAGGGGCACATTCAGACCACAGCCTGTTCGGGTTTTAGCCTATACTAGGACTGCTAGCAAGCTGGTTTTGGTGGGGTGGCGGGAGGGCTGGCGATTGAGTTTCTCAACAGGAGAAAGTTGTGATATAATTGGGCACCATTGTGTCCACAGCTGTAAAGTCAGGACTGAGACATCTCCCACTGTCCACTGTCCAACATCATGGTGCACTTTGCACACGGGGAGCCTCCATGGACCCACTGGCACAGAAGAACCAGGTGCCTGAGCTGTGGACAACTACTGCTAGGGTCAGGTGTAGACCTTCTGTCCCCAGTAGGCAGCCTTGCAAGCACTGAGGTCCAGGCATGGCACACATGGCCTTGTCTTGGCATACAAAGAGCCTCTATCACCAAGCACGAGACCTTCTCCTTAGCTGCAAGAGAAGAGTCAACCCCCACAGTTTCATTTGGGAGGGATTGTCCTTAGATTTCCAGACAAGTAGATCTCCAGAGGGCCACAGACTAGCATAGAGGTGTCCCCATAAGACATCTGGAACAGGGCTGCCCACTGTTGTCATGCCACGGATCTGTAAGTAGAAATAGAATGTTTAGGGCACACTGGATGGATAGATTGCCTCTCACAGGTAGCAATTATGAGCCTGAACACCCTGACCGTCCTGTGCACCCGGGGGTGCAATCCATCAGTACACTACAAGCCACGCGTGGGAAGCTTACCTGCTATGACTTGCCCACTGCCTCCTGTTGACTTGATAGCAGCCGTAAGGGAGAAGAGCTAGGCGTCTTGTTGATGTCATCTCTGCTGCAGCCTCTGTGTGTGTGTGTGTGTGTGTGTGTGTGTGTGTGTGTGTGTGAGAGAGAGAGAGAGAGAGAGAGAGAGAGAGAGAGAGAGAGAGAGAGATTTGGATCAAGAGTCCCACTTGCTGACTGAGCTTCAGGTGAGAGCGGTGCTCTGGTAAGACACATGACACATGGAAGCAGCTGACGTCCTTAGGGTCCCACTGGTGAGGTTCCTTCGCCTCCGTCTTTCTCCACAGAGGCAGAGATGCACTCTTAGAGCTTCCACTTGCTTCTTAGATGAGGAAAAGTGGAGATCTCAAGGCCTGGCTTTTTTTTTTTTTCCTTTTTGTGGTTTTTCGAAACAGGGTTTCTCTGTGTAGCCCTGGCTGTCCTGGAACTCACTCTGTAGACCAGGCTGGACTCAGAAATCCACCTGCCTCTGCCTCCCAAGTGCTGGGATTAAAGGCGTGCACCACCACCGCCCTGCTTTTTTTTTTTTTTTTTTAATACAAATGCTTTACTCCTCCTCCAGGGAAGCAAGCCATTCTGTGGACCTTGGTTTGGGACTGGTTTGGTATGATCCTCTGTCATGGTCGCTGCCTTCAAGGCTGCTAGACTGGCTTAGCTTTCTCTGCTGTTGAATGAGTAGATCCTTAGTGGGTGGCCATCTGTTTCAGTGCCGGATCAATTGTCCACAGCCTGCTGGCTTTGGGCTAGACCCTGTTGAGCATGGCCCTGACCCTGCATCTTACCACAGCGCCCAAGCTCATTTCGGTGTTGGTTGATAGAAATACTACAGTAATCCCCACCCCCTCTACCCATGCCCTCGGGTAACACCTTTCTGCGCTGACTCTGGCGTTGGCAGTCTGGCTTGCTTCGCCCAAAGGGACAATAACAAAAGTGACACTAAAGGAGATTTGAAGAGTCTCTGGGCTCTGTCTTCCCTGCTGGGGATGAAGGTCATGCAGTCAACAGCCATAAGCCCTGCTTCCTGGGAGTCTGGAAGTGAGGCTGTTATAATCAACTGCCAGCTAGCTACAGATGTGGAGAGAGCCAGGCAGGGCCACACTAGCTAGCCCAGCCCTCCTCGGCCTACTCAAAACCATATAGTAAAGAGGAGGGCTACTGGATTGAGCCTCCGGACAGCTCTACAGGCTTCCAGACAGGATGGTTCCTATGACAGTTGTGAGCCTGGAGGTGTGTGGTTCTGGAGTCTGGAGGGAGGATATTGACATTCTCTGTAGGGCAGACACCTCAGATGGCTGCTGGGACTTTCCAAAGCAGGCAGGGTCTTTTTCTGTCGACCTGGGGTGGGGCTCATGGTTACAAAGCCCTTCCTGGGATTTAGAATGTTCAGATCGTCTTTCTGTACACAATGCCCTGCCTTCCTGTGGGGACTTCGTGGGCTGTGACTTTGGTCTGTGTCACAGTCCTCTGGTTCACAGGCTGGCTTGGGGTTCTACATCGGTCTCTCAGCTGCATCTGCCCTGCAGCCCTGACACAGGGACACCTTTAGCACCATCGTAAGTCTCCTTGGTGTGCTCACCAGAGCTCATCTGAGAGTGCAAAGCCTGGGCTGGTTCTTCCTATGTGTCAGACTGTCCAGGTGCCCCCAAGAGCAGGCCTACCACAATGTTGGAATAGCCCCAACCCATGGTATTTTGTGCAGAAGCCCCAGTCGAACCAAGGCTGTGGACTCTTGGCTACAAGTGATTCCCGGGGATTATGTCACCACATTTGTGGGTCTCTCTCAGGATTCTTCTCTCTCATGGCTACTTGGTTCTCATGCTTCTAAATCTGCCAGAGCGAGAAGCCAACCCCCAGTGCCTATTCCTAAAGACACACAGCCTGCCAGTGAGATTGACAGCATATTCTTTAAGGACCCAATCCAGTCCTAGAAAGTCCGCCGAGGCCATGAAAGGCTCGGGGGTGGGGTGGGGTGGTGGCATGCTGCAGGTGGCTCCTGTTAATGAATGACACGGACTGCAGAGTCAGCTCCTAAAGAGGAGCTGCTAGGGCCAGGAAGCCGTGATGACCACTGCTCCTGCTGGTCCGATCCACCTTTGTACCTACTCCTGTTCCGTGCCCGATCCCTATGGTCTTTCTTGGGGGAGGGGCTGTTGGCAGGGAAGTGTTTGTGGTGGGTGTTGGGGGCATGTTCCTCTTTCTGTACCCTCTGCCAATCATCATGTGTGCCCATGTCCCTAGCTCAGCCTTTCTCCAGTGATTTCCTCTTTCTGGGTGCAGTATCCATCGGTCACTTGCTTTCTGGGCTTCAGAGTCCTCCCCACACTGCCAAACTGAATACAGTGTCATCCCTTCTGGTGAGCCCATCTGCTGTTGTGTTTCCTTCATGAAACTATGGAACATGCTCTAGTTTCCACACTTGAATGTGCTGACTGCATGATCCAACACTGACTGCAGGGGTCAGAGGGCTCAGAAACCATGCAGAACATCAGACCTGAGTTCTGGGCCGAGCTACTGTGCTACCCAACAACAGGGACCCTGAGCATGGCTGCCCTCCCACTGCCTTTGAGGGTCTGGGCCAGCTTTTATGTTCTCACACCTTTGGGGCTGGCTCACCCACATCTTTGCTATCAGAGCCAGCTCTGCTGTGTTGCCCAGGTGGAGGTGCAGAGCCAGCTCTCCCAACTGCAGCAGGTGGCAAGGGGCAAGGGGAGGAGGGCATCACCCCTGAACCCATGCCACTGTTTTGTTTTATAAAAATGAAAAAGAAGCCAGGGATATGTTTGGTGGAGGTGCAGTATCGTGTGGGGGAGGGGGTGCCTTTGCCGGCCCATGCTCAGGCATCCCTTCCCCCCCAGGGACCAGCCACACAATGGTATAATATAGAATAGAGTTTATTTAGAGTTTATTTAGGGTATGGGGAGGGGAGTTGAGGGAGTAGTAGAGACAAAGAAAGGAAGAGAGAAAGAGAGAGAGAGAGAGAGAGAGAGAGAGAGAGAGAGAGAGAGAGAGAGTGGCCATGAGCATGTGGAGAGAGAAGGCTGGGGAATGGGGAGAGAGGGGAAAGAGGGTAAGAGAAGAGAGAAAGGAGAGGGCAAGCAGTCCCTTTTATAATGAGTCAGGCACACCTGGCTGTTGCCAGGTAACTGTGGGGCGGAGCCTAGAAGGAATGCCAACAGCCACCTCAAGGAAGATGAATGACAGGGCCAGCTCTCCTGAGCTCTCACCCTCAGGGCTGGCCTGCCTGTGCTCCCACCACCAGGGTTGTCTCTGCTGTGCTGTCCAGTCAAATCCAGGGCCCGCTCTCCCAAGTGCTGCAGCTGGTGAGGGGCAGGGCCAGCTCTCCCACCTGCCCCCATGAGCCTGTGGACAGCTTTCCTAACAGCTGGAGGTGGTGAGGGGTATGGGGTATCAGGGCAGACAGTGGCAGGGTCAGCTCTTTCAGACTCCTCCCCTTGGGACCTGCTCACTCCACCCCAACCACCAGGGCCAGCTCCACTGCACTGCCTGGGAGAGGCACAGGGCCTGCTCTCTCTAGTGCTACCACCGGTGAGAGGTGGGGCTAACTCTTCAGAGCTTCAGGCAATGAGTGTGGCAAGGCCAGTTTTACAAAGCCCCTGGACATCCATGTCGTCCCCTGTGGCTGTCTTGACTAGGGATGTCCTCGTTCTCTAGTGGTACTATGAGTGACAGACATTGATTCCTGCCACTGAATATCATGGACCCAGACATAGCCCTCAGCTGCAGCTCAGGCTGGGACCTCACCATGGCCCAGGTGGCAGGGCTGACCACTCACAGAAGACTACTCCTCTCCACCCTCCAGTCTCCAGTTCCGTCTCTCTTCACAATGCCCAAGCCACTCCACTTCTCTTTCTCTCCCATCTATCTGTTTACCACATATTTGCACATTGTGGTGGCTCCTGCTGAAGACTGGCTATGTGGATGGCGGCCCCTGGGTGACATCGTCCATCCATACTTTGTGTCATGGTGGGAAGCTGGTTTCTATGGCCTGCTTGTGCCACGCATCTGAGGGATGGTCTGTAAGTAGCATGGCTCTGCAGGTCTCTGTTTTTTCCTCTCATGCTGGGCCCTATAGTGTTAGGCAGGCTCTGTGTCTATGGCCTGCCTAACCGTGCTGTGGGGTAGAGTCATGTCTGAGTGTCTTTCCCCATCTACATTGCATGGAATGGTGGAATGCAGGCTACACAGGTCTCTGTCTGTCTTTCTTCTCCCATGCTGTGTTGCCTGGATTTGATTTGATTTTTATGTGTCCCAGGCATAAGACAGCTTTGTCCACCAAGCTGGGCATTAAGCTAGGATGGACGAAGGACTGCCATCTGCTCTGTCCCTGACTGATAGAAGAACACCACTACCAACAAGGTGTCTCTTTGCCCAATACCAGGGGGATTCTCTTTTTCTTTTTTAAAGACAGTGTCTTGTGTACTCTTGAAGCCTAGGCTGGCCTTGAACTTCTGGTTCTGCTTCTAGTTTCTGAGAGCTGGGTCACACATGTCAGCTACTATGCCTAGTTTATAAGGTGCTGGGGATTGAACTCGGGGTTTCCTGCATGCTAGGCAGACACCCTATCATTTGAGCTATATCTCCAGCCTCCATCAGGCATCTTGTCATAGCAACAAGAAAAGTGACCAACACAGTCTTTTAAGCAATAATAGCCATCAGAATATGTTCATTGAGACCATTCTGTGCCGGGTGCCATTGTAGGCACTAGCTTTTAATAGTGAGTGGGAAAGGTGGGCCCCTCCCTGCAGAGCTCCTAGTTTTGTGGAGAGACAGCTCTCAGGCACCGGTCAGTGTCATCAGCTGATTCAGCATGGTTGCAGGCCCAAGCCTCTTGTACAAGACAAGGATGCTGTGGAAGGCTTCTTATAGGAGGAGGCACCGAAGCTCATGCCAGGAATGAGTTGTGAGCCGTGTGAAGAGCTGAACAGAGCTTACAAGACATGGGGACAAGCTGTGTGACATCAAAGTAAAAGCCTGTGGCACTGGCAGAGAACAGGCAGGTGTCAGTGAGGTTTATGGGGAGAGGACAGAAGGGCTGGGGAGGCTGTGGAATGCATCTTATGGGTGCAGAGACTGGGGCTGAGACCTGTAGATTGGCTTTTATTTAAGAACTGTTGGCTGGGTGTAGTGATTCCTGCCTGTAACCCAGGCATGTCAGAGATAGAGGCAGGAGAATCAGGAGTTGAAGGTCTACCTCAGCTTGGTGAGTTTGAGGTCAGCCTGGGCTACTGTTTTGCAGTCAGTCAATCAATCAATCAATCAATCAGTCAAGCAAGCAAGCAAACAAACAAGCAAACAAACAAACAAGCAAGCTTGGTTGGAGTGTCACTCAGAGGGAGCTCAGAGGTACAGGTTGGGTATTATGAGAAAAAAGCAGTGGCGAGCTCACAGTTCGCTATGGGAGCCCTACAGTCAGTTTTATGTTCAGACAGCGATTGTTTGGACATAGAGGGGCAGGAGCAGGGAGGGAAGTATGGGAGACCCTAAGATGCCACGGAGTCTTGGAAGAGTAGGCACAGGGTAAGGGCTGGGGTCCTGGCAGTCTTTCAGTGGATTTAGGGTACCTCACTCACCAGCGACTTAGAGGAGGAAGCTGTCTGGAGCCACCAGGGTGGCAGAGGAAGTGAACAGAAGCCCTGCCTTCCACCTCCGGACTGACGACTGACGCGGAACCTGTCTCTGTTGGGAACCTGCTCACCCTCTGAGGTAGTGGACTCCATTTCCTGGTTTGAAAAGAAGCAGCCGGTGAGTGCATTTAGGCTTCGGCCTGTGGGATCCCTGAGCTATTAGAATCTTCTACCCCTTCACTCTTCACATGCCGGGGTACTGGCTCTCAGAGAGGAAGGTGGAGAGGCTCCTTAGGTAGGAGCCCAGAGGCACATCTCAGCTGGGGCCTCACAGTAGGGGGGTCTGCCAAAGGGGAGCCCCGAGTCCGGCCACACTGCTGAGGCCATTACATCATCATACTGAGAAGCTGCGAGACCCATCCCCACAGAAAGGCTCTGACTACCTCCCCCACAGCCAGGTGAGCAGTTTTCAGACCCTTCAGGCCCCTCAGATCTTCACTGCATGACAGAAAGTTGAGTTCCCCACCATGAAGAAACTGCTGTATGGGATAGGGAAGGGACCCACCAGGGACTGGTCACCAGAGGCAGTTGCAAGTCTGTGTGTATTTGGCTGGACACAGGGTCTAGCCTCTCCCTATAAAGTTGTATCAGAGCCAAAGAACAAAAACATGATGGCCTATAGTCACCCAGCCTGAGGGGGAGGAGCTGACTGGGGCCCAGGCTCCCTAACCCAGCCCAACTCTCTTTCCTCTTGTTCAGTTTGTGGGGTTTCGGACTCATTCCCAGGGGCTCTGTCTGTTTGCTCTTGGTTTTAGGGTAGTTCTCAGTTTCCCGAGGTTCTCAGACAGTAGCCAGTTTGGGGATGGTGGCTCTCAGGCTCCCCAGTGCCTCTTCTTCACCACAACTCTCAGGTTCCGTGTTTTCATTTCTTCCGGTTTGACCCCGGACCTCAAATATCTGAGTGAGCCTGGGACTCCCAGGCAGACGCAGAGGCTGAATGAGGGACAAAAGGGAAGAGTCAAAGGTGGACAAGCAGCAAATGAAACTTCTAGGGGAGAAGTGGGCAGAAGAACCAGAAATAGCTTAGGCAACCAGAAGGGGTCCATTAACTTCTGAATCTGATCCTGGCAGTGCTCATCATGAGGCTGACTGTGGGGGATGGGATGCTGGGGTGGGATGGAACTGCTGGTCTCAGTCTTGGGCCTGACACTACTCCTCATGAGGCTGGGGCAGGGGTGGGGAAGACATGACACACTGTTGGTCTCCGGCCTGACACTGCTCATCACAAGGATGAGGAGGGACTGCCAGTCTTTCACAAGAAGCATGTGCTCTGGGCTTCAGGAGCAAAAGCCCTGACAGACCACACCCCGAGTCTGAGGATGCCAAGCCAATCCGAGAAAGCCTCAGGCAAAACTGGAGGCCAGATGGGCCAGTCTCCCTCTGGAAGCCAAGCCAGCACGGAATGGGGAACATGTCTGGCTAACCCCAACTACATCTGGGAGAGTCTGATCTGTTTTTCCTGTCTTCACGGACCCTGAAGGGATGGACAGCCACTCCACCTGACTAGTGGGTTCTTACTCTCATACAGGTTAACCCAGAGCCCCCTTCCCACATTTGTCTGATGTTCTGTGGAAACTGGAGTTCTGACCTGGATGTAGAGAGAGGGCTCCTGGCCAGGGTGGAGGGCAGGCTCCCGTGTGCCTGACTGACAGGAAACTTGCTTACTTACCAAGCCTTGGCCCAGGCTGTGCCCTCAGCCTGTGCATGATTAACTTCCCTTGTTGCTGTGAGAAAATATCTTGACAAAAGGAATGTAAGAGAGGTAGGCTTTCTTTAGCTCCCACTTTGAAGGCACAGCCCCTTCAGAGGGAGCCGGAGGCCGCTGGTCAAACTACATTGGGAAGATGAGCGACAAATGAGGCTTCTCAGCTCGCTCTCTCCATTTTCACTCAGCCCAGGACCAGCCCATGGGACAGCGCTTCCTTCTTACACTGAGGTGATCTAGGCATGCCCAGAGCCTTGCCTATCAGGTGAGCCTAGATCCTGCCAAGATGGAAATCAGGATTAGTCAGCACAGCCTGGTAGCTTGTCTGCCCCTGCAAGGCTTGGCTGGCTTCAGGCGTCTCACACCAGGCCTCATTCCTCACACTTGGTTGGCCCTCGGTGTCCTGTCCAACCAGAGCTGGACTCCCATCCTCCATCTCTCTCAGTCTGAATGAGAGAGTGAGCACATGGTTGAGTCTTGACTGTGGGGACAGTAGTGTACTCTCCTGTCTCTTCCAGGAAAGGCAAGGAAGAAGATGGAGTCAGAGTTCCTCTACGACTTGTTGCAGCTCCCAAAGGAGGTAGCTCAACCCACGGAGGAAGACCTCCCACGAGGTGCTGGTCCTGGTGGGACAAAGTTGTTGGATCAGGGGAGGGAAAGAATGTGTGATTAGTTTACTAGAATGAGACAGGCTGTATCTGGTGACCATCCGTGTATACATACATACATACATACATACATCTACCATCTATCATCCATCCACTATTGTCTACCATCCATCCATCTATTCATCCATCTACCATCCATCCATCTACCATCCACTCATCCATCCATCCCTCCACCATCTACCATCCACCCACCCATCATCTATTCTCTATTCAACTTGTCCACTCACTCATCCATGAATCATCCATCCCTTCATCCACACACCCATCCTCACATCTATCCCCCCCCCTCCCTTTTCCTTCCCTCACTCCATATTCCTTCACTAGCTCACTCGTGTTATCAGGCCAGCACATGACTGCAGTGTTCTATGTCTCCTCCCACCAGGAGTGGGCATGCTCCTGGGTTTGGGAGATCGAGTGTCTAGCAAGTCACATAGCAGGTTATATTTTATGAGCTTGGGCAAGTCAGCCCCATTTCCTGATTCAGTGTCTTCATGTTCATTGAGATCAGCTGACCCACAAAAGTCCCTCTGGGCCTGATGCTTTGTTGGTTCTACAAATTTAAAATATGGAGACCCTACTGACCAAGGCCTCAGGGAAGATAATGGGTGGATGATGGACGGGTGGATGGATGGTGGATAGATGGATGGATGGATAGATGGTGGATGGATGGATGGATGGATGGATGGATGGATAGATGGTGGATGGGTGGATGGATAGATGGATAGATGGATAGATGGATAGATAGATAGCCAAGCCAAAGTGGGCACAGGGGGCCTCAGTGATCCACCCTGGCGGGTGCTGCTTGGCAACATAGGTGATGCCCACCTCGGCCTGACATGCCCCTTGCTCTCTTGGGTTGTTTTTCACCCTAGGCATGTAGGCAGGGTTTCTAAAAGATGCTACACATCTGATTCATGGCCTTCAGGGTAAGGAGTGACCTCTGAGTTTAAGTGTGCACTCCCAGTGTGAAGTGCTCATGAGGAAACATGAATGAGAGGCAGGAGTAGGCTCCACTGGGGGCCTGGGACCAGTGGGTGACCTGGAGAAAGATAGCTGTCAAGGGCCCTCAGGATTCTCACATACGCTTCCCACCTCTGCTTCCAGGAGAAAAGAAGAAATATCTGTTGCCCAATTCCAAGAGGAACCCCAAGTTTGAAGAACTGCAGAAGGTACACCACCGTCTGCAGTACTGAAGTCTTTGGAGCCAGGCTTGGTGCTTCTGACTTATAGACACCACACCCCTGTCCACACCCCACCCCAACTCCACTCTCCTCCATTCCAACACACACCTTCTTTCTTCCGAAAATCTTTGTTTCTACAGCCCTCTCTTGGAGGCAGCCTAGGCTTTGTAACCAAGTGCCCATTGGCAGCTCTTGCCATCACCCAATTCGCCAGCCATGCCTCCAGGTTTAGGTGTTTGCTACAATGACGGCAACTGTCAGTTACTGAAACTTCACGTACCAGGATGATAGCTTCTCAGGACTCAGGCAGGTAGCTAGGAGATCTGGTGGGGGGTGTGTCTTTGAGAGCTCAGAACAGGTTCCAAATGACTAGAGAGATCAGGGAGAACTTTCTGGAAGAGCTACCACTTGACCAAACCTTGAAGAATGGGTAGGAGTTGCTGACCTGGCCAGGTGATTCCTAATCCCGGCAGCTGTCCCTTGTGACCAGCAGGTGCTGATGGAATGGATCAATGCCACACTCCTCCCAGAGCACATCGTGGTCCGCAGCCTGGAGGAGGACATGTTTGATGGGCTCATCCTGCACCACCTGTTCCGTAAGCAGCAGCTCAGTTCCCACCCCACCACACCCATGTTTCCTAAGCAGCTGCTCCCAGGGATTTGAAGCCAGGTGCACCTGCCTTCCCCCTGCCCCCACAAATGGCTTCCTGTACCACCACAGCCCTGGATGAAGGGGATCCCCTATGGCATTCTAGATTGTCAAGCTGAGGAGGGGGAGACCCTGCCCACACTCGGACATGGCAAGGCAGAGCTGTGGTTCCAACCAGTGGCAACTGTTTGTGCTGCCACGCCTTCTGCAGTTCTGTGACCTCGACAGCATTTAAGAAATGTCTGATAGTTTTAGGAGCTGGGGCATCGACTGTCTCTGACCTTAGAATGTCTTGTGCTGCTGGATGGACCCAGGCTATCCTGGGTGAGACATTCCAGAGGCAGACCCAGGAGTGGCCCCAGGGTGCCTGGAAGTGATATCCAAAGTCAGGCCAAGTTCCTGCCTCTGGCTGGTTTTCCTACCCATATCTGGTCTGCAGATGTCTTGTGTAAGGAAAAGGGTCCTGAAGCAGTAGGGCCCAGAATCATTCACATATATTTCCAGAGCCTGCCCAAGCCACAGTTCTATAGAGCTTAGCAGACAGGCTCCAGAGTGATCCTCCAGCCTCCGATGAGGCTTCTGGGTACTTCTCAGGGAGCAGGCACTGACAGCTTTCTGAACAGCCCACTGCTATTCATTCCTCTCCCTGGCTATGGGTGAGGGCAAGGCTCTCAGACACAGAATGACATACCCAGGTCTCAGTGGAGAAAGCAGGTTGGCATAGCAGCCTAGGAGTGTAGTGTTAACCACTTAGCCATGCTGCCCTGTGGGAATGGCCACCACAGGGCAGTGACTGAGGTGTGGGTAGAATGGTCAAGGTGAGGTGGGCCAGAAGGGACAGCTCAAAGGGTTGCAACCTGCTCACATACATGGTCCATGTCTCCCTTGGCACCCCCATTTCTTATGTGGATGGGGGTTCATTGGATGATGAGTGTGTTTGACTGAGGCTTCTGGGGTTGCCCAGGGCTTAGCACCATATGCCCATAGCTCCATGTGCTCTAAGTGCTGTCCAGGATTATTCTCATAGACAGTCCCCATGACAGCCGCTGGGCCCACTTCCTGGCCCTGACTGTCCTTTTGCTCTCAGAGAAGCTGTCATCCCTCAAGCTGGAAGTGGAGGAAATCTCTCTGACCTCAGCCAGCCAGAGGCGCAAGCTAGGGGTCATCATGGAGGCCATCAACCAGAGTCTGCAGGTTGAAGAGCAGCAGGCCAAGTGGAGCGTGGACAGTAAGTGGGGCTGAGCCAGGCCTGGGTGTGTGGTGTGTGGGTGTGTGGGTGTGTGGGTGTGTGGAGACCATCTCTGATGACTGCTCACTTAACTGATAAATGACACATTCATCTGCCTATGAACCATCCGGACCTGGGAAGGGTGCAGGGGCCTCAGGAAGAGCCTAGAAGGATCACAAGCTGGATATGAAGCCAGGTGTCTGGTGGAAGAGAAGCTAGCCTACACACATGGTCCTGGAGGGTACCACTGCAGCCAGTGTAGCACAAGGATAATGACTTCCCAGAGCTATGGCCACTGCTGAGTTTAAAATCACCACACTTCTCAGCCTTGTCGAATGGAACTCAGACCAAGCTCATTCATTTTCTGTCTGTTAACAAATGAGAGTGCCGTGTGTATGTGATTCCTACCCATGAGAGAGAGAGAGAGAGAGAGAGAGAGAGAGAGAGAGATACAGAGACACATACATACAGAGACACACACACAGAGAAAGAGACACACACCCACAGAGGGAGAGAGAGACACAGAGAGAGACAGAAACAGAGAGGGGGGGAGAGAGACACACACAGAAAGACATAGAGAGGGGGGGAGAGAAGGAGAGAGACACACACACAGAGACACAGAGAGAGAGAGACACACACAGAGATACACACAGAGAGACATACAGAGAGA